CTGAAAACCCTAGGATGTAATATAACCGGGCAATCAACAACTTACAAGATTATAAGTCTCATGTTGACCAGTTGAACAGCTGATCAATTGATAATGTTTAATTTAAGAATTCTAAGATGACCTACATTTCTCCCTATTGAACATAGGACCACCGAAATGTGCAATCACTTGGCGATCTGGTTTTAGATTTTTAGACATGTGACATAACCATTAAAATTGCTACACATTAAAAATAACGTGACACAATTTAGCTTCGTATCAGGTATGGCATCATTTTTATTGTTGTGTTAGAATCGAAATATATCAGTGTTTTTATTGCTAAATATACTGTTTGGAGTTCAGATGTGAGGAATAATATCATGAGGTCATAGCCCGAGCGATATAAAGCTGTGCATTTGAACAACTTTATTTGCAATAAACAATTTTATTGCATATTACAGACTGTCTGTCTTATGACGAGTAGGAAAAAATGCAGGTCGTGTTAGAAAAATAGAATTGTTATTCTGATGAATTATAGAATCATTTAGACCATTCTAACAGTATAGGGCTTAAAATCTTACACCTGTTAGCTTATATTTTTCTCATTTACAATATTTATTATATTAAAAAATCAAGCAAGCAAGCAAGCAAGCAAAAAAAACAAAACAAAAAAAAAAACATACACACACACCAGGGTACAAATTGAAACAATTTTATTTGTAAACAGATTATAAAGAATGTTACATAGATATGAAGAATTCAAACACATGTTTGTATCAACTCATACAAAAAAACACAATAAAGAGAATTAATGAAGATTTTAGAAAATTCAGTTACAGATAGCAAGAAACTTTTAGAGAATATAAGAAAAAGAGAACAGGATGAACAAATAATCAAACATATGATATTATGAAAAATAATTATCTGGAGAAAGCACACAAAAATTATTTTATACTGTAAGTATATTACAAGAGAAAAAATCCACTGAAATAGATTTATTGCATTTTTCAATATTAAGAAAAATCATAACATGCAAGTAATGTACATCCTTGAATAAAATAATGAATTATTAACAGAAATTTCCAAGTTTGAATGAAAAAAGAAAGAAAAAGATTTAGTTAAGAAAAGAAAGAAAATTTTTACATTTAAGTGCATGAAGAAAAATTTTAAAATATTTTTTTTCATTGTTATGAACATTGCAATATGACAAGTGAAAGATAAGTAAATATTTAAGATTAAAGGAAATCTTGTATGTAATTAAGAAAAAGTAACAAGTAACAATATTTACACATATCTTTTAAATCTAAAGATAATACAGCATTACATGTGTATTTTGAATATAGGAAAACAAGAGTCTGGTAAGTAATAAATGAATCAAGTCTGAAGTTAAACTCTTAAGTTTGAAAAACATATTTTACTGCACATTATCATTAATAAAAAAACTTAATTGCAGTCAATGGGCGAGCAGGACTGCTCTCCTTATAATAATTTATACAATATACATGTAGTTCCATTTTTCTCTCTTAAACAATAAATTAGAAAATTAACAAACATGACAGTCCTGAATTCTTGCCAATTATCAGTGAGTAGTTAGTACCAAATCAATTTAATGGTTAAATAAGTTTGATAAAGTACAAACTTAAATACATTTACCTAGCTTACCAAACCAGTATTTTTATTTTTTTATTTTTCTTCTTGCATTCTTTAAACTTTTTTTTTTCCATTTTTTTCCCATTCTTTAAACTTACTAACTTCAAAACATTGTAATTCATGTATGAATATTCATTTTTTAATACTTTAGTTTATAGTATCACTGTTGAAGTGTTGAAACTATATATAATCTAAAACCAAGCTCTCGACTATATAATCTTTTACAATAATGAGCAAACTTATTGTTTTCTATGATACATTACTCGGATAAAACCTCTATTTACAAATTTAATACATAAGTTTATGATACAATCAAGCGATGAAACCTCCATTTATTTCTTCCGTGATAAAGTTAGCATCTTTGGAAAAATACTCTATCTCATATAGCACACAAATATTAAAATGTTTTCAGGGACACACAACAGCTGTTTTCATATATTGCCATCAATAAGAATATTCTTTGAGTTAGACAAGAAAATTCCAAGCACAATGACAGTAAAGTCTGTTTTAAACACTATATTAAATACTTTCAGTAATGTAGGTTGGCGTAAAGTAACACACTACACAGTTATAATGCTGTGGGTGAAGCAATCTTGTAAGGTCAACTTTTCTTGACACAAATGTATGAAATGCACTTTACATCAAAACCAATGGTGGCTTTGTCTTGATAATCTTTATCTTCCTGTCAAGTTACAATGCATTCTTAGCCAGTCAATATATGCAATAAATGACATGGTGTTGAATGGCTTACTCTTAGTATGATTTTATAAGATCTTCATCTGATCATTTATGCTCGATGTTCATGGTGTGAATGAAATAAGAGTTCCAGTTGGCACATTATAAGATACATGACTAGTGCTACGATGTTTTAGATCCGGTGGAGTACCTAACAGACTCGGTCTCTGAAATTATAAAATAAACTTATTATGAATGTGTTGAGTTAACATGTCATACATCTTTTGATATTTCAATGTAAATAAAAAAAAGTTATATTAATTTCGTAAACACCCTGAACAAAACTTGTCAGCAACAGTAAAATATCCAAATAAGAAGAAAATAGAAAAGTACAAAAAACGTCAACGACAGAGCTGGTTTAGGTTATTTATTTTCTAACAGGTTCGGTTCTATCAAACTTCCATCAGGATGACAGTATAATATGTTTAGAAAACAAGAGGGCCATGATGGCCCTGAGATCGCTCACCTGTATATAGGCCACCCCACACCCCCCCCCCCCAACATTGCAGGGCCAATTTAACCCAAGGGCTTTTATTTGCACAAACTTGGTAGACACCCATAAGAAGATGTTTCATGCTAAAACATCTAAGCTCTAGCTCATTGGGCTTTTTTTAAAAGAAGATTTTTTTTATAAGTTTTTACTATACACATATAGTTAAAAACAATGACAAGCCTTGGGGCAGGCCAGTTTTGACCCCAGGGCTTTTATTTGAACAAACTTTGAAGACACTTACTAGAAGATGTTTCATGCTTAATACCTAAACTCTAGCTATTTGGGTTTTTTCAAAGAAGATTTTAAGTTTTTGCTATACACATATAAAGAAAATCAATGACCCCCGGGCGGGGCCAATTTTGACCCCAGGGCTTTTAATTGAACAAACTTGGTAGACACCTATTAGAACATGTTTGATGCTCAATATCTTAGCCATAGCTCTTTGAGTTCTTTAAAAAAAGATTTTTTAAGTTTTTGCTATACACATATAAGGAAAATCAATGACCCCAGGGCTTTTTATTTGAACAAAACTTGGTAGACACCCATTAGAACATGTTTGATGCTAAATATCTTAGCCATAGCTCTTTGAGTTCTTTAAAAGAAGATTTTTTTAAGTTTTTACTATATGCATATAGGGAAAAATCAATGACCCCCGGGCGGGGCCAATTTTGACCCCAGGGCTTTTTATTTGAACAAACTTGGTAGACACTTATTAGAACATGTTTCATGCTAAATATCTAGCTCTAACTCTTTTGGTTCTTTAAAAGAAAGATTTTTTAAGTTTTTACTATATTCATATAGGTAAAATCAATGACCCCGCCGGGGTGGGGGCCAATTTTGACACCCAGGGCTTTTATTTGAAAAAACTTGGTAGACCCATTAGAACATGTTTCATGCTAAATATCTTAGCTCTAGCTCTTTTGGGTTCTTTAAAAGAAGATTTTTTAAGTTTTACTATATGCATATAGGGAAAATCAAAGACCCCCCGGGCGGGGGCCCAATTTTGACCCCAGGGCTTTTATTTGAACAAACTTGGTAGACACTTATTAGAACATGTTCATGCTAAATATCTTAGCTCTAGCTCTTTGGGTTCTTTAAAAGAAGATTTTTCAAGTTTTTACTAATATGCATATAGGGAAAATCAATGACCCCCGGGGGCGGGGCCAAATTTGACCCCAGGGCTTTTATTTGAACAAACTTGGTAGACACTCACTAGAAGATGTTTCATGCCAAATATCTAAGCTCTAGCTCTTTTGGTTTTTTAAAAGAAGATATTTAAAGTTTTTTCTTTCGGTTGCCATGGCAACCAGAGTTCTGCATGGAATAAAATTCTTTGAACAATTTTTAAAGGTGACCACCAAAGGAACATTCCTGTGAAGTTTGGATGAAATTGGCTCAGCGGTTTATGAGGAGATGTCGTTTAAAGTAAAAGTTTACGGACGACGGACGGACGGACGCCGGACGAAAAGCGATCACAAAAGCTCACCCTGTCACATTGTGACAGGTGAGCTAAAAAAAAAAACAAAAAAAAACAGACTGGGTAAAAGCTCCATGTACAAATAATGGAAATGTTGAATGACACACATATGATCCTTTAACAAGTTTTAGATATATTAATTTTATCCTTTTTACACTGGTATTCACCACAAAATTACAAACATCTTTATAGATGCAAAGCTTAAATCAGATACTTAGTTGTATATACAAGTTACAAATCTAAACTTACTGGGGACCTGAACGAGGGTGGGGGAATATTTTCTTCATTATCAATATTCTCTATGTTAAAAACATCGTCATTCTGCACAGACCTTCTTGTCACTCTTTTTTGTTTCACTGAAAGTCATAATAAATTTTCCTCATTCACCTTTTCTTCTCTTAACAATTAAGTAAATTATTCTTAATACACTTGTTACTATATATAGTAACAAAATTGCCTATGATTTCAACTGATTGGTGTCCACGTGACCTATTTGAGTTTGCGGCCCGGGGCCGAGAACTAGCTTATCAGGCCCGCAGAACATGTGACACGTGCACAAAAAACGAAACAATGACGTCATTTTTTACGTCATGAAACAGTTAACTGTAAAAGTGAAAGTAGACTGACACATCATCGTATTAAGTACAAACAATTTTTGTTAACTGTTGAAATTTGAAGAAATGATACCGACAAATTTCAATCCGAAAAAAAAATGAAAATAAAACTTGCTTCTTTGAACAACACAAACAGTAACATCTCCGTACAGAACAAAAAGAATTTCAACCAAAGACTTCAAAGTAGATTTCTATTTGTTTGTTGTTGTTTTTTTTTCTTTTTTAAAAATTGCTACTATTAGATCTACCAAGTGTATTAAAGACATTAATACACGTCAGAGTAGGACCGGAAGGTGATAATCGGCCCTGAATGAATAATGGCCCTCGGGCTGAAGCCCTCGGGCCAAATTTTTCATTTTGGCGGCCCGATTTCACTTCCGGCCCCTCCCCTGTTTTTAAACCCTTTAATTCCCTTTAAAAGATCCCCAAAATAAAAATTTTTAAATTTTTTAAATTTAAAAAAGGGAAAAATTGGGAAAAAAATTCAAATAACAGGGTAAGTCCCTATATCTTATAAAATTAAAAACCCCGTTAACTTTTTTAAAAAGACTGACACCCTTTTCGAAGTTATAAAATTTATTTTTTTATGTTACCCAACCCGAGGGCGTTAAAATATTTTAATTTTTTCAGCTTTTAGTTTTTAATCCACAGGGCCAAGGTTAAAAATTGACGCCTTTTAAAGATAGCTGTACAGTTACATCACAAAAAAAAATAAAAAACAAGGAAATTAATTTTCATAACAGGATTTGGACAAAAAGTATATAAATGGATTATTCAATTACCAGGAGTCCCCTTATTGTTGGTGTGTACAGAGTAACAGATGAACAGCTTGTACTGTGGTGAAACAAGGTAACTAGTTGACGCGTGGTCTACGTTCTCAGTAGAACACCTACAACCTTTTTAGAACTGGGCCCTTCTACCTCTATTCTTTGTGCGTAGTTTCTGGTTTTTGCAGTGTCTTCTAAATGAATGAAATTGAAAATTTAATATAAGATTTTTTACGAAAGACAACAAAACCTTAAATTGGAAAAAACCAAAAAATAAATGCCCAACAAAAAAAAAAATTAATATCTTAAAACCACCTGCTAATAGTTTGTTCAAAATCTTATTTCAACATATTTAACCCTTTTTTTTTTTCGAGCCGGAACAACATGTGGTTTTATGCAAAGATTCACATATAAAAAAAAGTAACATACCTTTTTCTAGAGCACTAAGTGGTTGAAGATATTTCGATAAAGAATCATTCAAAACATCCCCATCTTGATCATTCACCGGTTTATCTGACAATGGTTGTAAGAGACGAGCAAAATCATCATCGGAGCCTTCTCCTGACGGTGAAGACACTAGACCTACATTCACCTCGTCAGCAAAGTTTACAGACTTTCTTGTACGGAGGCTTCTTCTGAAAATGAAATAACAATTTGTAAAATATTATTTGAATGCTTCTGTCTCAGAAACCCGGGGTTATGAGAGGTTAGAGGAAGAAGAATCTGATGAAAAAACTTGTTCATCAATTTAGGTCACATCTTCATGAAGCAGATGGAAACTAGATAATGTTCCATAAGGACACGGATGCCTCCCACACGCCCACTGTTCTGTCATCTTATGAATCGTGTCAAATATTTTTTGGACACTACATGTGACACAAGTTGAAAACTAAAAATCAACAAAGGCCCATAATTCTGTTAATTTTTGGGTCCGCAGCAAAAAAATTCCTTCCTTTACTACCATCTACACATTAAGGTTGTTAATCCCTGGAAGTTAAAGCAAAATCCTGCCATTCGCTTTAAGAGGAGTTGCGTTCACAAAATTCTACGTAGTATAGAATGAAAAAATAAAAAAGGGCCATAATATTCTGTAAATTTGGTTGCAGCAAAAATTTTCCTTCTTTACTACCATCTACACCATTAAGGTTGTTCATCCCTGGAAGTTTAGCCAAATCCTGCCAAACAGTTTTAAGAGAGTTTGCATTTCGAACAAAATTTCTACCATAGTAATAGTGAAAAAATAAACAAAAGGGCCAATAATTCTGTTAAAACGTTTTGGTCGCAGCAAAAATTCCTTTCCTTTACTACCATCTACACCTAAAGGTTGTTCATCCCTGTAAGTTTAAGCAAAATCTGCCAACCGGTTTAAGAGGAGTTGCGTTCACAAGATTTCGGGACGGACTGACGGACGGACAAGTGCAACTCTATATGCTCCCACATTGTGGGGGCATAAAAAAATATCACAATCAAAAATTTATCTATATGTAAAAATCTTGAAATGTATTCAGACGACATGGATGCTCCCTTATTTCAGTTTTATCAGATTCCTGCTAGACAATGTAACATACAAGAAAGGGCATATCTAAGGGCTTAAAAAGAACTCATATTAACATTTAAATAATATAAAGACTTTGGATAGCCAATTAAAAAAAATATTGAATATGCAATACTATAAAGAAATAAATGCTGTTACCTAGCAGGTGTTCTTTTGACACGCTTATTGTCACTCTCTGGGACCAACTGATGTTCATTGTCTACTTCATCTATTAAACGTTTAGGAATAGGTGTCTTCTGAGTACAAGTCCTCATAGGCCTTGGCAGTGGAGTGGTGTCCTTTAACAGTGGACTAGGTACTGCAGGAACATAACTCTTTCTAGAGGGAGTTCTATTTGTAAATATGTCAACACTGCTTGGTGCAGCAAGAGTATCTTTAGATGTCTTCCCCTCTGCACTATTGACTGCAGGTGTACTTTTCTTTGGGGTACCACCTTAATAAACGAAAGGCAATCAGTAAAGTAACTGTGAATTACAGAGATGAATTGTTCATTTATAGCTATTGCTATTTTTTTTTTACTAACAAGAAAAAAAAAACACTCATAGAATATGATAGTTCATCTTACACCTTTGCATATATTTTGATGTGACATCATTTGCGTTATACAAACAAAGCGTAAAGATGCGCTAAATGTTAGCGTTATACTGTAGACGCATCAATGAAAAATGACTATCACTTTAAACAATCTTTAAATTTGGAATGTGATAAATAGAATATTAAACTCATGTAAGTTCATCAACTGATTTTTTGACTCGCTTGAATAATATCAGTAATGCCTCACGAGTTACAATTTAACAAGTTGTATTCAACTTGTTTAATTTATTCAGTATTGAACTAACACTCATTCAATATCCTCTATTTATGTTATGCCTAGCCAATAATTTCAGAACTACAGCCAAATTATATATTTATTTCAGTTTTAAAAGAGCTCTGCAACTTACCTTCACAATGAAATGCTGGTGACCTAACAGGGGAAGCTACTTTAAAGAACCCTGGCACTTCAAACACTTTTTCTTCTTCTGTCTTTGAAGCAACTGGAGAGCTAACACTCTTTTTTAACATCTGAGCACGGAAGGCTGCAAACTTTGACTTCACTGCTGGCTTACTAACAATAGGTTTTGAAACCTTTTTCTGCATAAGAAAAATAGCAAACAAAATCAACTTTAAATTAATGCCAAATACTAACATACTGACAAAATTAATATTGCATTCCTTAAAATTTATCTTAAATAAAGATAAGGAAAAAACAAACACACCCTCAAAAGGACAACAATATGTTCAAAATGAGAGAATAAGCACATATAAAAATCATACACAAAACCAGCATCTGAAACTAAACAAAAACATATGATTTAGGTACAGCATATGTTTAATACCTTGACTTTCTTCACAACTGCTTTAGGTTTATCATCTACCCAGTTATTCTCCTTCAGTTTTTTAAGGTCTGCAAATTTGTTATCCACATCCTCAACCTGTAAGAACACAATTTGTATAGTTATATACATGACTATAGATACAATTGTTTATCTAAACATTGTGTATTTTGTAAAAATAAAATAAAATTGACCAGCATCAACTACAGCAGTCAGAAAATACTTTGCAATTCACATTTCTGGTGGTTGATACCACTCTCTGTTGAAGCTTTTTTTCACACCCCTGCACAGGGCAAGCAAAACCAATTGTTCCGTATTGCCCAGGTTGTCCCAAAGCCTGTATGGACAAGTGAACATTTTCAAGGATTAACTATGCAAAATATCATACGGACAACTTAAAAAATGTATAACATAAAAACAGACAAGTAAAAGTCAGATTTTGCCGGCACGGCAGTGCATGTGCTATTCCATGAAAATTTGGTTTCCAAGCAAATGCAAGATACAATATAATTTTCCTAACTAATTCATGAAAAAAATATTTTTTCTATGAGAATTGTTATAGTAGAATCAGAACAACATATAATTTTTTTGGGAAAATGCCAAAAGATAGATGGTTAAAATGCTTTACACATACCTGGTAATAGATCATTTCCCAGAATCCCTTAAGGTCCATACATGTGGTTTCTTTCTCTCCGAGTTTAAACTCACAGTTGTCTATTAGACCAGAGAACTGTTTAAATCTCTGATCCATCAATAACATGGCCTGACCAACTGTTGTTCGAATCTGACCATGAACTGAAATACACACATACAACTGCATAAAACTTAGTTAACAGAAATAGATCAATACTCAAATTATTGTCTTTGTAAAAACATATCTCAATATTTTTCTTATATTAAAGCAGTAGCATTTGCTTATGTAAACAACAAAAGGCAGACAAGTCTTCATCTTTTTATTCAGAGTATGACCTGGTACTTTCCTGTAAGCAAGTTTTGTTTGTGGTTAAATCTTTAATACAAAGAGCCTTGAGGGCCCTGAATTGCTCACCTGTCAAACATCATAGTTAATTTGTTTATAAAGTCAAATATTAAACTTATTTCAAAAGTTTTGCCTGTTGTCTTGGTCATGTGACAAAATCTACAAATTTTTAAGCAAAAATTGTAATTAAAAGGTGTTCTGTTTTTTAATCTTTTGACTAACTTGTTCAGCAAACATGAATGATTTTTTTTTGTTGAGAACCAATCAAGGATCAATACTGTATAGTTTTGTTGCACTTAGACAAGTGACTCTTGTAAAGAAGTTGTTTAAAGCAAAAGTTTGCTTGATAGACAAAGCTGATTAAGCACAATATGCTGTAAGATATAACTACATATACATTCTTAAACATGCAGATTATAAAGCAGAGTAAATTCATGCAGTTCTGAAAACACACACCCAATCCCCCACACATAAACTCAAACTTACTATCTTCAGTAAGATCTGGATCTTCATTTATAATATTCCAATGATCACTAAGTCCATTCAATCTATTAGTCTCTGTACATAATAGCTTGCGAAAATATGAGACATCTTGCTCCGAGTCACTGCTACTATCTGTAATCATGCATACACCAAGTTTAAAACATTAATTCCAGGACAAAAATACATTAAAGTCTGATTTATCATTGAACATATGCTATACTATTTATATTTTTTAAATGAAATAATCAAGAAATGTTTCACATATTAATATCGCAATATCATTAAAAATAGAGAAAAATCTATTTTTAGTCTAAATGACCTTGATCTTAAATATCCTGAATGTTATGATCAAAGTGGTTAACCACACAAAGTGAAATAACATACATGTACATAATTATGCAAATAAAACAATTTTCAAACATTAAAAAATATGTCAAATATGTACTGCAAATATTTGTGCATATTATATGTAATCATTAAAATATATTCATTCATTCTTATTGTAAAATTTGACTTAAACTTTATAGAAAATAAATTTCTAATTATCTCCCTTTATTTACATGAAATGTTCAAATCAGTAATATCTTTATAAATAATGCATTTAGAACCTACAATACTGATAAATCTTAATTTAAGCATCATTTTTTTATGATTTAAAACCATAAAAGTTTGTGTTACAGGATCTTTAATCATCTTGCAACCCATTTCAAGCCAATAAATGATGCTAACAGGGAAAGATAGTCAAATGGCAAATGAAGGACAACCAAAAATGTCTGAAAAACTTTCAGTGAGCATGAAAATGAATAATCCAGTACAAACCTTCACTTAGTGGCCCATCCTGTGTGCTGCTTACTTCACCAACTTGGACAACTGTCTGCTCATCTAAAATCAAAGAATGTTATTTAGTACAATTTATAATTAAAGCAATACTCTTGAAAACATTTTTTAAACTTTCTCTTTAAAGTAATATATTAGTAGTCCATATTTACAAAAATAAAACTGTTTTATTTTGCTTCTAATTCTATGTTGTTTTTCTTTTTCATGAAACAATTCAGACATTACCATAACTAGTGACAAATGATGCCAATTTATATGATGTTACCAACAATGTCATGACAAACTTGATCTGTTATGCATTTTTCTCTGCCACATATTTAAATATAAGAATAAGAATGTTAGTTACATTAATTGTTAAATTATTAGTCTGTAAAATATTGGAACAATAAAAAAACATGTGAACATGATATCATAATTATATTTCATTCAATGAAATAAATGTCAGACACATACTTGTTTTAGCCAAAACATCTGGATGAGGATCATTTTCTTTGTTAGATTCATTCAATATATCCATAGAAAAAACTTCATTCTCCCCCATAGAAACAGAATGTGTACTAATTGCTTGTTCATCTGAAACTTTCACTTCTGCATTTTCAGTTTCCATAGAAACGACTGATTCATCTAAGTCAACATCATCAAAGTTTAGAGTTGGCAGAGATGTGTTTCCTTTAAAATAAATAAAGATAAACAGTACATGTATAAGCTAATGTGCAATAACTTTAAATTTAGAGTTTTCATTATCTTTCATTTTTATCCAACTACACCAAAATCAAAAGACAGAAAGAAAAATGTCTTTTTGTAATTAATATATTGTATACTCTTTATTTTCTCTTTGAAAGAAAACAAAACATGCTTTGTTGTTATAATAAAAAACATAATTTAATCATTGATTTACTGGATAATAAGTTTTAAGCAAAGTAAAATCTTACCAAATCTGTGTTTTCTCCTCGTCATTTCCACCATTGGGCTGTTACTTAGAACTTCAATCCTAATAACATAACCAATAATTTTGTTAATCTTATAACTTCCTAAGTTACAAGCCATTTTTGATAAAATATGCAAATTTTTAAAAGTTCTAAAATAAATACTTGTTCAAAAGAAGGATAATAACTGCCTTGATTTAATATAAAGAAAGAAATTGTAAATCAGTATTTTTTAAGATCAAAGAATTGCTGTTAACATGCAGGTTACTTTTGAACTTATTACAGAATGATATTTTTGTAACAAATTTCATTTTATATATAAATCATCTTCACAGATTTAACAAATACAAGACATATTATTATATCAGCTTTGTAAATTAATCAATTAATTGATACAAATGGACAACAATTAGCACATATTTGTAAATCAGGTAAGGATGTTGGCAATTTAAAAATTAAATGACTTTCCTCGTGTATTATCATTTTAATTTCTTAATCAAAAACTAATTTCCTGTCATTTTCACATGATTATTATCTAAGTTTGAAATCTTTTCCTTATTGTTATGTTAATTGCTACTTATCTTTAAAAATCAAATTTGTATTAACCCTTGTCCAAGCTTTACATTTTTGTACATTCAACATGACAAGAGGACAATGATGAAAACTTTTCTTACAATTCATATTGTTAAAGAACATAATTTTATAAGAAAAATCTAAAATTATACAAAAATCAATGGATCCAAATAAATAAGTTTTTTTTTTTTAATGGATAGATTAATTTTATTGTTTCAACATAAAATGTAAAGATACATGTCAACAATTCATGTATATAGATAGAAAAAATGTAAAATTACATTACATGCTATAAGTAAGAAGACATAAAAATGTGTATGAAAAATTCTTATTCAACAAGGACAGTATACAAGTATATTACTTTTCTATTTAATGAAACTGTCAGCTAACAAAAGCAAAAACTTTAAACTCAGTACCCCTGATCAATTTAATTAAAGAGTGCACATACCACTCTTCCGGACTTTTTGGCATCAATGTTTTTCTGCGTGGATTACGTTTGGCTGACAAAACTACAGATTCAGCATCTGGTAATCTATTAATATCAAAATATGATGTAAATAATAGTAAATGATGACTAATTTTGTCTACAAGACAAAAAAAATACATGAAAAGGAATAAATTATCTGCATGTGATAGACAACAAATTCAGTTTAAAAGTTAATATTACTGACAATATTGATTTTCTGATGTTTGTTTTATTTTTGTTCACAATTGGATTTTCAGTTACCTTGACACAATACTATAAGGTCTTTTTGTGAATTTGCAGTTTACTGATGGAGGTAGACCATAAGTGCATTTCAGGCATAAGCTGGCACCTGCTTAGAACAAATGGCCTTCTTTAAGTTAGCAGAATGAAATCCTCACATGAATTCAAAGTCCCTGGCAGGATTCAATCCTACAGCATCGGGGGTAAGTGATTTATGAAGGTAAATGTAACCACTCATCAACAGAGGCCATTATTGCAAGTTTCAACAGGAATCAAATTCATCCAATATGTTTGTTTGTTTGTTTGTTTCATTTTACGCCTTTTTCAACAGTATTTCAGTCATATAGGCGGGTAGTTTCCTAACCATCGTTCCTGGAGAGTTACACCAGTACTAGACTACCTTTCTCCGCGCTAAACTACCAAAGCATCTCCCGGGGATCGAACCCACTCCAGAGAGGTAACTGGATTAGAAGTCATCGACTCTAACCCCTCGACCACGGAGGCGGTTACCATCCAATATGTATTTTTGTTACAAATCTAATGTATTTCAATCTACAACTGTTTAGCTTTAAGGGCAAATGATTATTTGACCATTTAACTGCTTAACTGACAAGGCTCCTGATATTTAGTATGCTTTATAATATATGTGATTAATTCTAAATAATTTACCTGAATCCCCCAAATGATTTGTTTCTTGACTTTTGCTTCTTCTTGTTTGTAGGAGTATTTTCTTTTGATGGTATTTTTAGATCTATACCACTATCAGATGATGTTCTCTTTGGAGAAACAACAGATCTACGACTTTTTCTTCCACTCTTTGGTGTCATTTCTTTTGCATCAGACTCTGGATTCAATGATGCTGCTGACCTATTTCTAGTGGAACGTCTTGGCTTTTCACATGCTACACTTTCAGATGGCTCAATTTTATCTTTCTCCTCAATGTCAACAAATGCAACAGAGCGCCTTGAACGGCGAACACTTCTATTTGTTGCTACTGGTGATTCAATATCTTTCTTTTCACTTTGTTCCATCACAGTAGTATTTATTTTAGTTTCATCTAGGGAAATAAATTGAATAATACATCAACCTTTCAACCATATGAAACATAATTATTTAACAAGAGCACCGCTAGGCGGAGCATTATATGCCCAAAGTGTTTTTTTAGTTAGGATGAAGCATTTGTAAGACATGGGAATTAGCTGTTCATCCTAAAAAATTTTTTACAGCTGTAGGTTGATTAATACTTAAGTTATCAATAATGACCTTAACCTTTGACATTGTGACCCCAAAATCAATAGGGGTCTTCTACCTAATATGGACAATCATGCTAAGAAGTTTGAATAGTGTGGGCCAAATGGAACTTTAGTTTTGCTCCAGAAACTGCTTTCAATTTTCAGGTAATAGTAACCTTGACCTTTGACCTTGTGACCCAATAATCAAAAAGGGTCTTCTATCCAATATGCACAATCATACTATGAAATTTGAATATCGTGAGCAAAATGGAACTTAAGTAATGCTCTAGAAACTGTTTAAAAGTGACTCTGACCTTTGACCTTGTGACCCCAAAATCAATAGGTGTCTTCTACCAAATATGGACAATCATCCTATGAAGTTTGAATATAGTTGGCCAAATGGAACTTACATTATGCTCCTTAAACTGTTTTTGGTTTTCAGGTAATTGTGACCTTGACCTTTGACCTAAAAATCATTAGGGGTATTTTGCCCAATATGAACAATCATCCTATGAAGTTGGAATATTGTGGGCCAAATGGAACTTAAGTTATGCTCCGGAAACCAAATTGCTAACAGACACACGGACAGACAGACAGACGCCAGGGGGTATAACATAATATGCCCTTTTGGGCATATAAAAAAAGAAAAACCCTGAAAGGAACCATCCATAAAAAGGCTAAAGACTTGGCATTTCATTTTTAATGCATCCCCTTATTAAACATACAAATAATATAAGACAAAAAGAATTGTTTCCATATAAGAAAACCCCACCTATTTCATTGTTTTTTCCCCCACACAGTTTTGCAGCTAGAATAGGGCTCCATTCATAAAGCCAAAAAGTATCTTTATCCACAATGGTTAAATTTAAGTTGTTAACAAAATTGACAATGACTCAAAACATGATTTTTAATATGGTGCTTTATAATGAATCAAAGCATTTTCCAATATACTATTTAAACTTTTCCCCCTTTTTAATACTTAAAACTGAACAAAAATAAAACTATATTCACTAATAAAACACTATGGAGCTAATCATCGTAATTCAAAGGACCTTAGACCCATTCACAGACTAGCAGAAACTACTTTATTTTGTCTCAGAGCAAAGAAAAAATGTAACAAATAGCCATCAGCTAATTACCTTGAGTCAGGTTCATATCTTTTTGGTTCTGTACTGTTGTATTGATACTTTCCTCAGCAGGCAGCTCTTTTTTCTTGTTTTTCTTTGGTGTGGAGCTCCTTCAGAGTTAAAACATTTACATTTTGTACAATTTAAAGTAAAAGATACTAATCTCTTCCTAAAAGGTCCATTTAATATGCCCCCAAAATGCTTTTATTTTTATTTCTCAAAAGCTTTTAAATTTTTGTTGTCCTGTAATAGTTTCCAAAAAAAAAACCTACTCATTGGCCAATTACCTGTACAGTAAACTTCACTTATAGCGAACACGGTTATAGCGAACTTCCGGTTATAGGAAACAATTTATTTTGGCCCGAATTTTGGCCTTCTTTATTTAATATAAAAATATATGGTTATAGCGAACACGGTTATAAGGAATTATCGCTTATAAGGAACTCATTTCTTAGTCCCAATTTAGTTAATAGTACAGAAAATTACACTTTTATAACGAACTCCAAAATATTGGCTATCCGTAAATAGATCCCGCATTTAAACGCACGGATTAAAACTCAGGCGAATGTACCGTTTATCGTTGTATGTACTTCAATACATCTATTCAAATGAATTTGTATAGTTTTCTATTTTGGATATTTTTAGCGTGAGCTCTTTTCACCAAGATAAAACGGTTATTTATTTATTTTCTTCAATAGTTTTGCTCAAATAAATTAATTATAATAATTTATAATCGGTTTTCAACATAATCATGCATGCTTGCATGCATGATCCATTGCAAACTGCTAAGTACGCTTGATTTAAATGAAAAGAAATCAATATCTTACATTAGTAAAAGTCACCCTTAAATTATAATAGAAGATATTCAATATACAAGGAAGGAAAAAGCGAAAATCTTGTTTATTCTCAATCACGGAAAGAAAACGAAAATAGTTTAGAAACAAAATATTATATTTTATGTGAAATTGAGATAAGGAGTAAAACTAAAACTGAAATAGCAATGATTTTCGAGTTCCAAAAAGAACGCTCTCGGGTAGTGTGTCTAAAATATAAATAAATGACTAATATTTCTATTTCTTAATCAAATTCTCTTCAAAAATGGCGGACAATGGTAAACAATCAGTTCGTTATATGTAAATCTGTTCGCTTTAAAAACTCCTGATACAACGAACTAATTCGCTATATGCTTACAAGGAACTCCGGATATAAGAAACAGGTTTTGAATGTCCCAGTAAGTTCGTTATAAGCGGAGTTTACTGTATTATGTTTTGCTTTTCTTGCTTTTAGGCATTAGTATTTTAGTAAAGTGATCTAGTATTTTGCTTGAAAATCAAAATACTTCTATCACATTATGTTACTTTTATGACAAGTAACTTAACATTCAGCACTACTTTGTCTTCCTTCGGGTGATATTAAGCTCTTAAAGCATTACCTAAACATTATAAAACTACTATTTATTCTTCCTAAAAGAATTGTTTATAAGGCATAAAGCAATGTAAAATAACAGCAGATTTTTTTCTTTAATATTAATTTAAGGTAAACCAACATAACATGAGTGTGCAGTTCCATTTGTTGATGAAGACCCTATGTGTCCTATTTAACAGACAAGAGGGAACATCATTTAAATCTTTAACTTTGAAACTTTGTTCTCTCCTATAGTTATTACTAGAAATGTGTCCAAATATTTGTACAATTACTTCTATCTACAGTCATGGTTGGACTGAAATAAGGACAAGGACAAATCTAAAATGTCAAACAAATTCAATTATCAATACTTCAATTAATGATGCAATTTCATAACTCAACTAAAATATATAAAATCACTTCTGAAGAGTAAATTAGCTTTCTTCAGCTTTCTTCAAGAAAGAGTTTAGTTTATTCAACAGACGTGTTTTTTAAAGCAAGAAAACGTATTTTGTCAAATAAATAACCAACCTTTTTGGATTTGTTTCCAGAAATGAGACACAGGAACTATCTTGAGTTTGGCAAAGAAAACCTGCAGCACTTGCTGGACTCAGTGGTCTAAAAACAAATGAGCTGGCATTGAAGCCAAAGTCTGATGTTTGTGCAAACGAATCAGCTGACAATATTGTGGTGTCACCACGCCTTGTTACTTTGTCTAGATTCAATTCTGGTGAACCGACTGTATCAGGACATTGATCAAAGGCTCCCTTGGGCACTGCAGAAGCCTTGAACTTTGACTCTGTTACTGAAACATATGTAAAATAATAAGCTTTTTATCAATATACAATATACACAAATATACGAATATCAACACTTCAATAACAAACTTAACAGAAATAGCTTGTTGTTTTCTAGTGTTATAGATCATTCATATACTATGCAAATTCAAGTAACTACAGAACAAATTAGATGCTATATCAGAAATAAATAAAAGAATTCTTTCAAAGTCAAAGTTCTCAAACAAAGTGCATATCATCAATTAATTTGAATTTTGCTTCATATATTATTATAACTGAATACACTGGCACCACATTTTAATACTAAAGTTAGGGTCAAATACAAATGGGGTCTGATATATAAATAATATATAAATCAATAAAGCTCATCTGGCACAAGATTGGATTGTTGACAGGTAGAAATTTATTGTATTACCCCAACAACGTTTCTGTTCATATACAATTGTAAATGTTTTGTTACATTTAATGATTTCAATCATTATCATCATCAATTTTGAAATAATAAATTCATTTCTTATTCTGATTCATGTAAAAAATTGAAACAATAATTTTCAAAATATTATTTGGTTATGTACTGAAAAATGACATAAGAATATAAAAGATCTATGACTGTTTAACCCTTTACTTCATAGAGATATGTTAATTATTGCATTGTATACCAATTGATAAGAAATATTTTTTTGAACCATTCTTGTGCATGTTTAATACAATAACAAGCATTGTTTCAGATATTGCATGAATTACATACATCTGTGGTAAGTATACCAACAGGAGCTGTCACAGTAGACAATAAAATACTGGACAAAGAAAGGAAGACTAAACTATGAAAGAAAAATCAGTTATGTATAATGATGTATTAAGTTATAGTAAAGAAATAGAGGATATTTGTTTGTTTGTGTGTACGATGAAATTTTATTTCATCTCGTGAACTTTAAAAACAGTATTCTCACGAGTGGCTACGCCACTCGTGAGAATACTGTTTTTAAAGTTCACGAGATGAAATAAAATTACATCTTACACAACAAACAGACAAACTTTCTTTTTATTTTATGCTTTAAAACAAGTTAAAACGAAATTTCCATAATTTTAACATTAACATTAAAATCTGTTTCCCCCATTGAGAGCCCCATTCAGAAGGAATTTCTCATTAAAAACAAGAAGTCTTGAGCTGAGAAATAAGTCCGCCAATCAAGGTTAAATGACGGTGATATTTATTCATTTTATTAAAAAAAAAATTTGAATGATCGCTTGTTTTAATAATAAAAACAAACAATTCTTGTAGGAGAAAAAGTCCAACCATCCATCCATATTTCTGTTACTTACAGCTAATTTATATTAGACCTGGCTTTGTAAATGTAAGCGGCAGCCATTTTTTAAAGTTGTGTATTTCATGGGAAGAAAATAATTGTGTAAGATTCAGAAGGATATAATTTGGATTTGTTAGTCATACACCTTTTTAAAAGAAAGAAAACTTGTAAAAAAGGATTGTAACAGACAAACAAGAGGGCCATGATGGCCCTAAGGGCGCTCACCTGTATGTAGGCCCCCGGAGCGGGGCCAGTTTAAACCCCAGGGCTTTTATTTGAACAAACGTGGAAGACACCTATAAGAAGACGTTTCATGATGTACACACTTATAATGAAAAACAATGATCTGCCCTCCCCTACACCCGGCAGGGCCAATTTTAACCAAGGGCTTTTATTTGAACAAACTTGGTAGATACCTATAAGAAGATGTTTCATGCTAAACATCTAAGCTGTAGCTCATTGTGTTTTTTTAAAGAAGATTTTTTAAGTTTTTACTATACACATATAGTTAAAAACAATGACACCCCTGGGATGGGCCAGTTTTGACCCCAGGGCTTTTATTTGAACAAACTTTGTAGGCACTTACTAGAACATGTTTCATGCTTAATATCTAAACTCTAGCTATTTGGGTTTTTTCAAAGATGTTTTTTAAGTTTTTCCTATACACATATAAGGAAAATCAATGACCACCAGGGCAGGGCCAATTTTGACCCCAGGGCTTTTATTTGAACAAACTTTGTAGACACTCACTAGAAGATGTTTCATGCTTAATATCTTATCTCTAGCTATTTAGGTTTTTTCAAAAAATACTTTTTAAGTTTTTGATATACACATATATAAGGAAAATCAATGACCCCCTGGGGCAGAGCCATTTTTGACCCCAGGGCTCTTATTTGAACAAACTTGGTAGACACCTATTAGAACATGTTTCATGCTAAATATCTTAGCTTTAGCTCTTTTGGTTCTTTAAAAGAAGATTTTTTAAGTTTTTACTATATACATATAGGGAAAATCAATGACCCCCTGGGGCGGGGCAATTTTGACCCCAGGGCTTTTATTTGAACAAACTTGGTAGACAACCATTAGAACATGTTTCATGCTAAATATCTTAGCTCTAGCTCCATGAGTTCTTTAAAAGAAGATTTTTAAATTTTTACTATATGCATACAGGGAAAATCAATGACCTCTTGGGGCGAGGCCAATTTTGACCCCAGGGCTTTTATTTGAACAAACTTTGTAAACACTCACTAGAATATGTTTCATGCTTAATATTTTAGCTCTAGCTCTTTGAGTTCTTTAAAAGAAGATTTTTTAAGTTTTTACTATATACATATAGGGAAAATCAATGACCCCCCGGGGCCGGGGCCAATTTAGACCCCAGGGCTTTTATTTGAACAAACTTGGTAGACACCCATTAGAACATGTTTCATGCTAAATATCTTAGCTCTAGCTCTTTGAGTTCTTTAAAAGAAGATTTTTTAAGTTTTTACTATATACATATAGGGAAAATCAATGACCCCCTGGGGCAGGGCCATTTTGACCCCAGGGCTTTTATTTGAACAAACTTGGTAGACACCCATTAGAACATGTTTCATGCTAAATATCTTAGCTTTAGCTCTTTTGGTTCTTTAAAAGAAGATTTTTAAATTTTTACTATATACATATAGGGAAAATCAATGACCCCCTGGGGCGGGGCAATTTTGACCCCAGGGCTTTTATTTGAACAAACTTGGTAGACAACCATTAGAACATGTTTCATGCTAAATATCTTAGCTCTAGCTCCATGAGTTCTTTAAAAGAAGATTTTTAAATTTTTACTATATGCATACAGGGAAAATCAATGACCCCCTGGGGCGAGGCCAATTTTGACCCCAGGGCTTTTATTTGAACAAACTTTGTTAACACTCACTAGAAGATGTTTCATGCTTAATATCTTAGCTCTAGCTCTTTGGGTTCTTTAAAAAAGATTTTTTAAGCTTTTTCTATATGCATATAGGGAAAATCAATGACCCCCTGGGGCCGGGCCAATTTTGACCCCAGGGCTTTTATTTGAACAATCTTGGTAGACACTCACTAGACGATGTTTCATGCCAAATATCAAAGCTCTAGCTCTTTGGGTTCTTTAAAAGAAGATTTTTTAAGTTTTTACTATATGCATATAGGGAAAATCAATGACCCCCTGGGGCGGGGCCAATTTTGACAACAGGGCTTTTATTTGAACAAACTTGGTTGACACTCGCTAGAAGATGTTTCTTGCAAAATATCTAAGCTTTAGCTCTTTCGGTTTTTAAAAGAAGATATTTAAAGTTTTTTTCTTTTGGTTGCCATTGCAACCAGAGTTCTGCATGGAATTAAATTCTTTGAACAATTTTTAAAGGTGACCACCAAAGGAACATTCCTGTGAAGTTTGGATGAAATTGGCTTAGTGGTTTATGAGGAGATGGACGCCGGACGAAAAGCGATCACAAAAGCTCACCCTGTCACTTTGTGACAGGTGAGCTAAAAATAAGTGTTGACAGAAGTGAAAACATTCAGAAAAGGAGCTAGGAAAATGGAAAACTTGGAAGCTTGCTAAGGCATTGTAAGGAACGCTGGGTTGTTAACTTATTTTACGAGTGATGGCTGTCAATGCTTTTCAATTTTTCATAAAGCATACGGCAGTTATTGCTCGTAGGATACTTTAATAGGCCCAAATGTCATCAAGAGCAGTTTTACTGTTTAGCATGGGGAAGGAATGTATTTTTCAGACTGTAAAAACGAAACAAAAAAATTTAGAGACGAAATTTTGTGATTGGAATTTGAAAGAATATTATAGAAGTAAGTTTTCTCTCTTTATTACTTTTGACATTTAAGTTATTTATCTATTTCAGCTTTGCTATTTTTTTTAACAGCCTGATATTGTCAGAATTGTCAGTAAAAATAAAATTGAGGTACCACATGGGGAAAATCTTAAAAAAGTAGTTTTGTCATTGAAAAAAGTGAAATTATATTTCGATAATTTTCACTGTGAAATTATCAAATATAATTTTCATGGATAAATCAGTAATCCACTGAAAAGCATAAAATAAATAACATTAATTCCAAGATCAAGGGAAATAATTCAGTTATGAACCTTGTCACACAACATGTGTGTAATGATAAGAAATATACATGTATATTGGAAGTTTGAAGTAGATACCTTAAAAAATAAAGGAGTTATAATATTTCTAAAAGAAAATCCTAAGTTCAAAGAGAGATAAATATGTAAATATTGCTTCAAGAGTTATGAACATTGTCATATAAAATGAAATTGATGATAAGAAATAATTATTTGAAGTCTGAGGTAGATAACCTGTATACTTCGTATAGTCGGGCTAATAAACAGGATTTTATTAATGTGAGAGTCAAATACTCTGGTTAGTGTTCATCTGACAGTGTACTTCTTATGTGAAAACATTACAAAACTTCATATATTATACCTTTATTTTTGACCGACTGTCTTGTGGTTCTTGATGCTGGCTCAGGTGCTGCCACAGGCTGTCTGGCACTGCGTAATGTTCTTGTTGAAGCTGTTGGCTTTGAAATTGGGACTTTTTCCTATTATATACACATAACAACTTAACTATTATATACATGTAACAACTAAACAAGTTACCAATATAACATACTTTCTTTAAAGTGAAGCAATATTGAAAAGTTAAAAACAAAACAAACAGATTTCTCAAATTAAATTTTGACATTGAAGCAAGTACATGTATTTCTAAAACTAACATCTATATAGCAATCAAAACATACGTAAATTCAAATCATACAACCAATAACTGAAACTAGAAATGAGGACATAGATACCACAACATAACTTTTTTGTCTATGGCCAGAAAGACAAGTGCAAATGTATATCCCCCTGTAAGTGGGGTTATAAAGATGTCTGCAAAGAGTAATTACTGTATTATAATATATACTAGTTTAAATGTTAATAATGTAAAAACAAGATAACAAAGCTCCCTTGCTACTAAAGGTCACTATTTCAACAATGAAGTCACATTGGGTTTGTCATTTATTTTTACCAAAGTATCATAATTTTCAAAATATTTGTTGATGTGTGCTACTTTAATGCTTCATGACAAATATTTAAGCTCCAGGTATTGCAGTTTCAAGAAGAAGATACATGTATTAATGTATGTTTCTATACAAGTCTATATAAGCTAAGTCAAGTGACCCCAGGCGGGGATCATGATTTATATAACTTTTGTGGAGAACCAAAACAGTAAGGCTACATGTCAAATATCTAAGCTCTGCAAATTGTACATAGTTTCTGATTAGATTCCTATAAAGTCCTTTGTCCTAAGGTGAGCTAAAATCCACATTTCGATGCTTTGTTTAGTACAGGCATCAATGCATAACCAAGATAGCATGCTCAAATAAGTGAAAGTTTCGTTGATAATGGAAAATTTCCCCCAAGTAACACTTGTATGTTCACATTACAAGTTACAACTCACCACTTTCTTGCTTATCTTCTCTTTGACTACCTTTTTGGCATTAGTTTGACCAGTTGGCTTTGCGTGGGTTGCTGGTTTAGGATGAGCTACAACTGTTGCATGACTGACTGGTTTTGTGTTCACTGGAGCAGGTTTGGGTTTCACAGGGTGTACCTGAGCAAAAGACAAATAACAAGAATGATTTCTTTTCACACAATGATTACCATTGGTTGAAGACCTTAGTTGCCTTCATTGCATTATTTGTATTTACCTCACCCACATCAAAATTTTACAATTGATATTTCTTAAAACAAGCCGAATAGCAAAATGGGCAACTGGTTACTGATAAAGAGGGATATGCTGGCATCAATATACTTTTCATCATTCACGATAATTGATAAAGAAATTTCTTGTCATGTGACATGCCACCTGACAATGATTATTCTGGCATGAATGAAAAGGTAAGCATACAAATTGTTACAAAGAAATGTGTAAACAATTGATTGGAATCTAAACTTGCTTTGTCATATATAATATATATAAGGCTGTGCATGACTTGGTATGCTGAATATAAGATGTTAAGTCACTCACAGTCACTATATTTAGTATATTGTTTCATGAAATTAACCCGAAAACTTACCTTTGTGCCTGATTTTTTAAACAAAATCTTATCTCCATGATCCACAGCTTTGCTTACACGAAAGACAGGATTTTTTCTCCTGTTCTCAGCTTCTTCTAATTTGCGCTTCATCTCACGCTCCTGTTTCCACTTCTTTAATTGCTCAAGGCGATCAGATCCCTTTCTAGTCATTTCATCAACTACATAAACACACATTGAGAAAGCATTGTATTATGCAGACCGATTATAAGGATCTTATACCTGTTAGTGTTAGCAGTACAGATCGGAATATATGACTTGAGGGTAACTGTTTATGACTGTAACAAGGCTCTGCAGTTTCCACCAAACAGTTACTTGAGAGCCAGATATACCCTTCTGTGACGACAGCCAGGGTTTATTTCTTTTTCTTGCATATTAATTATGTTTGGTAAAAATATTTTCATGTAGCACTTTACTTATAGTAGCATATGAAATAACAGCAAAATGATGTCATCCTTAAAAAGCAATTCATTCATATTAAAAGGCTTGCACTTGGGGTGTAAGACAGGTTTTTCTAGCACCAGTTTAATTTAAACAGTACATAATCAAGAAATACAAGAATATAATCCTTACACACTGATAAAGTAATGATTTAAACTTTACCTAAACATTGATGAAGATAGCTCAGGAGAAGCATATTTAAAGCTAGTTAAAGCAATATGACATTCATATAATAATATTCTGCACTTTATTCAAATTCAATACTTTCTGCTTGCAAAACACAACAAAAATACATTTAATATACAATACCTTTTGGTTTCTGAGGAGTTTTGTCTTTGTAATTTTTGTCCTGTGTGATTGTCAAGTCACCTTCTTGTAAAGGAGAAAGGTGACACAAATTTCTTCGTTTGTTTAACCCCTCTTGACGAAGCTCTTTCTGTTCTATAGATCGTCTTTCACGCCTGATTGTCTTGGTATTGGTAGATGAACGAGACAATTTATAGGCACTAGCATAATTTCCCCTTCCCTTTCCACCTTCCATGATTTCACCACTGTAAAAATTATGTATTTATACAGGTTATCAAACAGATTCTTAATCTAGATTTTGTTGCAGTTTAATTCAATTTTGATTTTATTCACATAAAAATTATCATGGAATGTTCACTTGTACTGTATTTATAAGGTCTAGGATTTTTTATAGATTTATGGACAAGGGCTTTTTTTGGCAAAATTGTTAAGGGGCCTGAGCCTGGTCACTTTGTGAAAAAATAGCATAGTAAAAAGGACAAGTGTAAAAAGGAAATTTTTGAAAAAATTAAAGGGAAGATTGCTTTAAATATTTGTTTGAAAACAATGAGCCCAGTAACATAATCAATGTGTCATTTCGCAAAATAAATGCATCTTAGCAGAACAAAATACATTTTTAATAGCAGATCCTTGACATGATCTGCATGTATTTCTTAACAAGGGATTAAGTGATATTTAGTATATAAACAGTTATTTTTGGTACTAAACTGACGTCATATCATGGGTGTATATGCACGGCATTAATTAGTTAACAGCAAGGTATGTTTAAATGCTAAGAAAGGTTAAATGACCCTTTTGTTTTTTATTTTTCATATTAAATTGACATTTTTCGAATGAAATTTTTAATATCAGTATTTCTTCCAGCTCCAATTTTTTGGGGGTCATCAGAGATTTTTTCCAGGATTTTGGGAACTTGACCCATACCCATGGAATTGGGAATTTCGCTGTGTTTTGTTAAAAATTTGGAAAATACCTTGTGACTGAAATTTTGCAATGTTAAAATGAATGCAAACAATCACTGTCTAGATTGGCATCTTCAAACATTTAAGCACTATTATTACTGTGAAAAAGCCCTTATTTTCAAAGACCTTAGCTTTTTTATTCAATATTTTGATTTTGTAACTTTCAATTGGGAATTTTTTCCTGTGGATTGGGAAATTAATATATACTATTTTCAATTGGGAATATGACCCAATAACGACTGTAAAAGAAGCCACAAAAAAATCCCTGGTCATTTTTGACCCCCTGTTTCAGATTTTAGGGGTCACTTTAAATTGTTTAGGGTCATGCCAAACCATATATTTTATTAACCAAGAAATACATAAAAGAACTGGAACCACTAATTTATTAGCCTCTTTCCTATAATTCATTAGGCCATTAGTAAAATAATAGAATGGAAAAGAAAATGTTGCGTAAAAATAATTTGAAGAATCTCTATAAACAGAAGAAAAAAATCTCTAATGAATTCAATTATCCCCAGTTAGCTACTGTAATTCATGCAGCTTTATATGTACTGACAACTTTAAATCTTAATCAGCAAGGCAGGTGGTTACACAGCTGCATCATCCTTTCCATATTTGGTTGTATAGCTACGTCACTAGCACTACTGTACAGACTGGTGAAAATGCCTGATCGGGCTTAAGACATAATCAAAGGGCTGCAAGCTCTGTGGTATTTTTCTGAACTTTGCAATCTAAATCATACTGACTATCTGTATGTATTTTCCTGTATAAGTTTATTTTTATATACTATATTTCATCTTAGGCAGCGACTGCATTTAGATTTTTTCTATAACAGTTTGAGATTGATACATATGGAAGTTTGCATGAGTTGCATCAAAAAATCATTTTTCATTTTTTATGACAGCCACACTTTATCCTTGCATATCGTGGCTACTTCCTTAAAAAAGACACTTCAAAAAAAAAGTTGCCTTGACCAGGATTTGAACCTTAGGCCTATCACACCCTAAACAACGCGCTACCTTTGCACCACGGTGAGGTTATACGCATGCAGCTTGAATAAAAACAAATATCCCGGAACAACCAATATTCAATCAGTTAAGTTGTTTTCAGCCAATAATAAATGAAAGGGGAAATTATGCTTTAAATTTATTTTAGATATTTATGCATCTATCAACATTTATACATTTTAAGGTTGATACATTTTCAAATGTCTTGATCTTTCTTAGAAAAACAATCAAAACTATATGACCCACTCAGGTCACTCCCAGGAATATTATAACCTAAATTCAAACAGCAGTGTAATCACCACTAAAGAATTTGTTCAAGATAAATCAGGGCTAATAAAAATTGTAGAAAATTTAACAACAGTCTATTCAACGATTTTCAACTTTAAAAAATTTACACTAAATGTTATAACATATGTACAGTACAATGCATTGGTATGACTACTGTTAATGTGTATATAAAGGGCAGTTAAAGGTGTCACTTTTTAGTACGCTATTTCGAGTGCAAAATGATAAATGCATTCAATCTTCACAGCCATTTTACCTTCCCCATTTTATAATATTACCAAATATGGAAACTTGTCTAGATCTGCCAGATGGTATCGCATACAAAAGATTTATTTTACAATCATCACTTAAAAAATCTTGATTAACATTTAAGATTTTATTAATAAGGGCCCCTCTTTAAAGTCTGATGAATATTTAGTGGTACATCATATATTAAATAAATGCTTTAAATACACCTAAAACTGAGGTAAATGGTAAAACCCTGTACCCAATACTGACTTGCTTGTAATTCTTTTTATCACTACTGCAGTATGTTAAACAATTGACTATTTTGATATAGTTTAAGTTAGGCAATTTATATTGTGTCACTTAAAGCAAACAATTTCTTTTTGTTTTTCTGATAACATCTGACAATTAATCAAGTATATTCCTGCAAGTGTTGAAGTTAATACGACAAGTGACTTTATGTACTTTAGTCAGACATGGCATCAGCGCCACAGAATCAAGAATGTGTTTGAGTTTAGGTTGTGATTGAAAATTGGTTGTTTCGGGATACATTGTAATTTCCATTTCGTGTTTGTAAACCTTATTAATTTCGAGGTATTTTGTTCACGATAACACTGATGAAAATAATTTAGCGAAAATCTTCTCGCCAAAACAGTCCGACATGTATATATTCCACTACTCGACAGTCAGATTTATTTGTGTACTACGCTCTGGAGTATTCGGTAGTCGACATAGCTAAAAATAGCATTTTCATTGAATCCATAATCCTAAGCTTTACGGAAATAGCCGAACATTTTTCATAGGGTAAAAAAGATATTCATCCGCGAAATTTGTGATTGTAACCTCATATTTCTATTGACTAATCTAAACTTTTAATGTACTGTAATTTGTTAAATGCCTACATTAAAATCATTCTTTCTTTTAAATTGCTGGTTTTTAAGCAGTTTTGAGTGAGACCTACTTTGCATTGTTAGATCTGTTAGGAAATTTTGTGTTAGACCGTTGATGTAAGCTATGTATTTACTGATCTTGCGATCAGAAAATACAAAAATCATATTTCTAGAAAAATAATAGATATGTTTCTTTCTAACTTGCTTTGTTTATTAAGCATTTATTTATGATACAAATCAAAATAAAAATATTTTGGTTATTTTCTATTTTTTAAGAATTATTTCCCTTTTCCCATTTTTTGGAAACAAAATATTTGATGTTCATAAATATTATGTTGTAAAGAAAAATTCTTAATAGAAATGTGCCCAGTAACTTCATTTTCCTAAAGATTATTGCGCCAGTACCTTTATTCTATATATATATTTGGATCAAATATTGTTTCTGGCATTTATATTTTGACAAATCTTTTACACTGAACATTATACTTTGAAGTTTTCTCTGAAAACTGAATGAAAAGTATGTTGATAGGTGGTGGCGCAATGAATTGGAGCATAAAGAAGTTATTTAACCTACTTTAATTTAAACTTTACATATGCAACATATTTTTTAGGGACTTATAGAGGATATTGAATGAGTGTAGTTTAATACTAAATTTATTGAACAAGTTGAATAAAATCATATTATGCGAGCATAATATTGTTTTATTTAACGAGTTCAATAAATCTAGTATTGAATCTACACGAATATAATATTCTTTTTATAACATATATATAAAATAAGAACAGTAAACTGTTAAAAATAGTAATTTTTCAATGACGCGCCCATAGTGTGACGCTAACATTAGCGCGCTTTAACGCTATGTTTCTATATAGCGCAAATGACGCCACATCAAAATGTTATTACACTAGTGTAATATCGTTTTTATTAAATGGCTTTATCACACTCCTGCGCCGCAGTTTATGTGATAATGAAAATTATGTGTTATATAAACATAAAAAAGGAGAAATAATTCTCACAAAACTGACAGTAGCCAAATATTTTTCTTTCTGTTTGTGTCAAACAGTCTGTGCGAAAGTCTGTCGGTCCTCGGACCTCGCCAACTAAAAATCAGGAGGACCGAGATAAATTTCATTACAGTCAGTCCTCATGTCCGAATAAAATTTCAGCGAGTTTGAAACATTTTTTGGCCTTCTAAAATATGAAAACTTCCAAGATAAATCTTTTTTTTATTTTTGCTTGTATTCACAGACCCAGATAACCAAAATCACTGCAAGATACAACCAGTTTTTGCTAAGTAATGTGAGCCACCATCTTGTCTTGGACAATTTCCTTACCAAAACATATTTTTTCTCCAACCTTTGAAAGATGTATCGTTTTCCTGTGAATTAAACTAAAGTTTTATTTATTCATTTTTTGTATATTTTTTTCATAGTATCTGATAGTTGAGTCTGATAATTCATATTTTCTAAATATTTTTGTTTATGATTATGGATATATCCCTCCCCCACCCCTACAAAATAATACCTTTCAGAGTCCGGGCCGGGAAAAAATCATCAGAGCCGGAAATTAATCTAAGGATCCAAGTCCTTGTGGCCGGAAAGAAATTTTGACTTTCGCATTGACTGGTCAAATATATGCTCAATACACAAATGAAGTTTAAAAGATCTTTAAAAGATCTTTAAAATATCTTTATTATCTTTCTAGAAATGATTTTTATGCAGGCCAGTCGTCACGATTTTGTGATTGGTGTGGCCAATTTGATTGGTTTTAGGCAGAATCTAGGGGGGTACGGGGGCATGCTCCCCCGGAAAATTTTTTATTCTAGGATGCTGTAAGGGGCGTTTTCCCGTATATTTGGCACAGTTTACAGCCTGCCGCTAGTACATGTTATAGTAATATGTCAACGATTTTTTACAGATTTAAGTGTGTCGTAAGTTTTAAGGGTGAAATTTAAGGTTCGCATGACAGACGGACAGGTGTACATAAAAGATGAATACATGTAATTGATAATTGGCAAATGAAAAATAAACAATAACTGTTGTTATTATAATTCTTAAATGCATTTTTATCTGATGATTATAAATAAACAAATGAAAGAAATATTACAGTACGTGGATTATTGTTTAGCATAAATCACACATTGGTATAAGCTTAAATAACAATCGATGACATGATGGAAGAATAGTTCATTACGAGTCAACAATAACCACTTTTTGTTTAGCAGTAACTTGTATTTTGTTAACAATAATCTTACACAACACAGAGTCTCATTTGATGTAAATTTTCCAAAAACACATCGCCGTCGTTCTCCTGGATGAACTCATCGGCAATTACACGTAAGTTGAGTGGATCTGTCAGTTAACACCATTAGATTGTTCAAACGTACTTGAGACATTGTCGATCTCAGGTATGTCTTAATTCTTTTGAACGCCGAGAATGTCCTTTCACTGGTAGCATTAGTAGCAGGCATTACTAACAAAATCTTTAACAACACAACGACCTCAGAGAACAGTGCTCGTTCTAGCACCGACTGTTCTGACGCAAATTTCAAAAAGCCGGGTAGAGTAACAGTTCTATTTTCTGATTTGTCAAAATGTGAAGCTGCACATCTAAGATGTCTCGGTTAATATCGTTACCACAGAAATCACAAACAAAACCAAGTTCTCTAGTGGACTCGGTCTTCAAAAGTTGTGCGGCCCTTTAAGTAAATCCTCCACGTTTTGAAGAACGCGATATCCCGGTTGGTCAAATCTCTCTTTAACACTGGCGATGGCAAGATCGATTGCTTCAAAGTACTTAGGCCGGAACACGTCCTGCACTGTAACGGGGTTGTAGCCAACACCTTGCCCCATCTCGAATCGTGTGGGCGCCTTTCTCTTCCACGGGACATTTCGATCGTTAACACCGACTTTGAAGTTTAATCAATAAAGAATGAGAACTGTCGTCTGATCTCATGTCTATCAAACTATCTAGAGTCCGCTTTGCTCGCCACTGGCACTCGGATGCTGACAATGAAACTTGTTGAGGAGATTTGCTGAGGTTGTCTGTCAATGCTAGGATGTCGTGTGCAAACATTACACCGAAAAAGTACAATTAATTGTGTCCAGTTGTTTCTACTCATTTTTGGCCAAAATATTGGTCCGGCCAAGGCTGGACCGGCAGGACCATCGACGACGGCCTTGTTATGTCATAAGCCCGATCAGGCAATTTTACCAACCTGCTGTATATAGGTAAAATGTGTAACAAATAGAAAGAGGGTTGTGTAGTACATACAAGTTTGTTTTGAAAATTGGATAATTAATAGATAGAAAAGTGGACAATAATTGGATATAATTATATTGTCCACTTGGATGCATGAAAGAGAATTTTTGTCTGATTAACGGACAATCAAATTGAAAGGTATTAAGTCATAAAATCAAAGCAGTGCATGATTTGTATTTTAATTTGTTTAAAAGTTTGCAATGGATTTGAAAGTGTCATGATTTGAGATTTACTGTAAAATAATGGAGAATAAATAACTGCGTCACTGGAAACGCAATAATTTAGTCTCATTACGTCAAGGCCATAAAAAAATGTGTCAACAACACAAACAAGAGCTGTCGGTAGGACAGCATGCTCGACTATTCTTTGTGCTTGATAGTAAAAAAAATGCCTGATACAGTTACCTCCTCCTGTTTACAGGTTGGGGTCATGATGTTGAACAAGTGTGCAAAGTTTCAAAGCCATATGTCAATGGACTTTGAAAATATTTGAACTATTACAAAAACTTTAACGTAAATTCTAAGTCGAAAAAGGGGCATAATTCTGTCAAAATGCTTGATAGAGTTACCTCCTCCTGTCTACAGGTTGGGGTCATGATGGTGAACAAGTGTGCAAAGTTTCAAAGCCATATGTCAATGGACTTTGAAAATATTTGAACTATTACAAAAACTTTAACGTAAATTCTAAGTCGAAAAAGGGGCATAATTCTGTCAAAATGCTTGATAGAGTTACCACCTCCTGTCTACAGGTTGGGGTCATGATGGTGAACAAGTGTGCAAAGTTTCAAAGCCATATGTCAATGGACTTTGAAAATATTTGAACTATTACAAAAACTTTAACATAAGTGGTTACGCCGACGCCAACGCTCGGGTGACTGCAATAGCTCTACTTATTCTTATCGAATAGTTGAGCTAAAAACACACTCTGGAAGAAACACTGTAAATGTAGAGTTGGTGGACCAACGCTGGGCGTAAAAATACTATATTTGATAGGGCAAATTCAAATCAACGTCAACAAACCTCAATGTTATATGCCCATTTTCAAGACCGATGATATTGTTTTAAATAGCCATTGTGTAAAATTTGCTAATCACATAATGATGTGCATGGCTGGAGCTATAGATAGTCCGGATAAACAGTGGTTTGCCTGAAATTGTACCATAGCTCGGCATACAATACTACATTATGCAGGATTGTTTTCCGAATAAAACCTCTTTTTATATTATGCAGAAAACAAATTGAATAAATTTTAACAACCAAATTAGGTTCATAAATTTACAAGTACCCAACTTTTAATTTAAATTTTACGGCCCCAGAACTCTAGTGTTAAAAGATTTTAATAATTTATTTGTTGGCAGTGATTTTTCTTACTTAATTGGGAAGAGGCCTGAGCCTCTTGATTTTGGGAAAAATTATCACTAAAATTGCTGATTTGGGAAGTAAAAAAGCTGGTTTAAGTTCAGATTTTTGGGAAAACTGCATGATTTTAAAGAAAATTTCAATTGGGAAGAGGCCTTTTTTCGGAGTCTGTTATATAAGTAGGATAATCACTGGTTGGGGATTACATACAGATGTTCGTCTGCTATAATTTAGGAATTATGGTGGTTTCGTCTAACTACCGGTTCGGCTAACTTAATTTATGAAGAGGTGCGAAAGTGGTTTCGTCTAACAGATGTTATATAGTAATTAAAGGCAAAGTAGACGTGGTTCATATATATAGTGTTTTTATCATCAATATTTTGTTATAATTAGTTTAAGACGCAAATATCATTAATGAACAGAATATATTGTAGAAGTATGTAGAAGTATGTTTATATATTATACTTATTTTGAAAAGATTTTTTAGTTATTTGATAAATTATTTTTGAGTCAAAATAAATTACAAAAAAAAAATCAATATTATTTTGTTTGCAAAATTAATTGTTTAGTTAGGGCTTGTTTTACGAAATAAATCAATTGTTTATAATTGATGACAGAGAAAGTCAAAAAGATCAAAAGAAGACTACGTCGCCGTTCTGACCAGCCTCCGCCGAATATTAGGACAGCCACAAGTCCAGTGGTTCATGTTGGATTTTGAAGCAGGTATGTATTCTCTTAATAAAGAATATAAGTAATAAAAAAATTGCTGCATTTCAATTAACTTATGATTTTAATTAAAAAATTAAAATTTATCATTTTATTTTTCAGCTGCTTGGCAAGCAATCAGACATGTGTTCCCCAGTTGTGTACTGAAAGGATGTGTCTTCCACTGGAACCAGAGGCTGTATCGAAAGATCCAGGCGGAGGTCTTGCCACCTCATATCAAGATAAGCAGGACAAACATGAATTTTCTCCGTAAGGTCATGTCCCTGCCTTTTCTTCCTAGTGAGCAGATCCCGCCTGCCTTCCGACAGCTGATGGCCCAGGCTATGGAAGTTGGTGGACAATATTGGCTGTGATGGAGTACGTGGAGAGGACGTGGATCAACGGTAGTTTGTGGCAGCCGATTCACTGGAGTGTATTCCGTGAGACCGTTCGGACGAACAACGACGTTGAAGGTAAGATCCTGAAACAATTATAATACAATATATTAATATATTAGTAAATGTCTATTTGTGAATTTTGATATATTTTGATATATTTCTAAATAAAAAATTATAGGAAATTATTTTTGAAATCATTGACGTTGTATGTTTACTAAATCAACTTTACATTTATTTCGACATTATTCATTACAGGATGGCACAGAAGGATCAACACACGAGCAGGACGTGCGGACTTGGGATTATACATGTTACTACCATTATTGAAGAGGGAGGCTGAGGTTGTTGATCTTCAAATTCGTCTAGTTTCGCAGCATCTCTTGACAAGATTACATCGTAAAAGATACGCCCGAATCCATGGAGCCTTATTCGACGCCTGGGACAAGTACGAAGATGATGAGATGACGACTTCTCAACTACTAAGACTGTGCAGCCACATTACCGGAATAGGATCCAACAACATCAACGACGGATATATGAGGACGATTTTTAAGTGTCATATATATAAAAAAGTGATGAATAAAGAATAAAAAATTATTGCTTAATACTACGTAAAAGCCATGGTGTATACTCTGTAATACTATGCATGATTATAAAAGAGATGAATAAAGAATTTAAAAAATATGCGTTGCTTATTACTACAATAATAATGGTATAAATTTTACCTTTTTGTGAATATAGGTTGACATTAGTAAAAATATGTTTTACAGGTTGTATAAATGTGTATATATTTGTGTAAATTTTATAAATTATTCTTTTTTCAGGTTTAACTTTCGTATATACGTATATATATTTATTTATGTATATGTAAATATAATAAAACGTTTAAGTCATAGTTTTATATCTATTGAGTGGTGAATAAAGAATTAAAACAGATTGTTGTTTATTACATAGAAATCATGACGTATTCTTTTGAATAATATGCATACCTCATATTTGTTTATATAGAGAAAAATAAAGTATTAAAAAAATATGTGTTATTTATAATAATTACGTACGTGGATTTTTTATGTATTTATGCATTGTTATTAATTCTTTCCCTTTGGGCCTTTTTTTTTTAGTATATATGTCGATTTTATTCCGATTAAAGGCATTTTTTTCAGCTTTAACTATTTGTGTATATATAGTTTAACATAGATTATAAAAATAAACTTATGTGAAATGTAATTTGTGTTGACTCTTTAGTTTTTTTTTTCAGATTGTACATATAAACGTATATATATTTCTATGATGTTGTTTATTCACTGAGATCTTGTGTTATTATTTATGTAAATATCATTATTATACTAAAGAAAAGAATAAAAAATATGTTTAAATTTTCAATTTTTCTTGTCTTTAATTGCATGAAAATGTGTGATAAACCACACATTAACACCCGCGATAATTAATGTGCCCATTATACAATAGCTATTGTTCACTATATAAATTAAGTTAGCCGAAACCACTACCTGTTTTACTATATAAGATCAGTTAGACGAACCGGTAGTTAGACGAAACCACTCCCACCCTAATTTAGCATGCATTGTCGCGTGACTTTACCAGCAGTGAACCACACCAGGATAAATTGGTGAAAGATGTAAATTAAAGCACCAGTGACCTAAATCGGAGATAACTCAATCAAAAAAATATTTTTTACGCCGAGCATTGGTATGCGCCGAGCATCGGTCCAACCACTCTAATATTTACAAACATCTTTGTCAAGTTTTTTTTTTAAATTAAAGAGCATCCATTCTTTATTTCTTATTCTGTTATAAAATTCTTTGACTATATTAATGAGCACATAATTATTCAAGTTAGGTTTAAATATTATATTTCCTATTTGTATCATAATTTCCAGATAAAAAATAAGAGCTGACTCGGGGGCCGAGTACGTTTTTGGGCCGAGTCCAAAAATTTTAGACATGAAATACCAAGAGACCAACAAACGAGAAAAAGAAATACAAAGTTAAACAAGAATCATCGATATTAAAAAGATGTAGAATAACATGTTTATTTACCTTCGTTGGGCCGAGTTATAACGTAGAATCAAGTTAACAGCAGTAATTTTCAGTTAATATTTTCTTTCACTACCCGACAGTGTTCAAAGTTCGCTCCACATTTCGAATGCTTAAATCTGATTGGACAAACTATTCGGGATGATACTACATTCGGAACTGCCTCGGCTATTATCTTATAAAGCAATGTGGAAGACTGGCGGAAAGGGCCGAGTAGTTGCGATTGGTTCGAGATCCTTATCCGAAGACTGACGGAAAGGGCCGAGTAGTTGCGATTGAATGATACTAATCGGTGATCTCCGTTCTCCGGTCTTTGACGGTCTCCGGTCTCACCCGTTGTCTAGAAAGTAGTTCTTTAAAATTTTGAAGTGGCCCAGTTTAAGTTCTCTCTAGTTCGAATAGCCATAATTAAAGTGTATATATTGCATGTGAGTAGTTTTTGTGTGTAAAAGTTGTTTTTGTGTATTCTCCAGGAACTCATTTGTTGGCGGAAGGATTAAAATTTTTCTATAGTCTATAGCTTTTCTAACCCTAGTACTCCTCATTCAAAACAGAAAATTATGTTACACATTAAGCTCTGTATTCAAAGTCAAAAGAAAAACAAATTCAAAATATTAAAAGTTTTTCCCCACTGGGAAACCCCTCTGAAGAACGTAAATTAGTCCATATAAAACTGTATCCTAGAGAAGCAAAGTAACCACAAAAAATATTATATTCTTTTCAAAATGGCCACAGTAAAGACCGCCAAAATTAATATCAATATTTAACATTTCATGAAAAACGTGTCATACAAACTGTACCAAAAACTAGTTGAGCGGCTTATTTATAATAACCGCGGATGAATACAAAAAAAAAACAGTCAAGCAAATCAAAACAAGACTCTGCTTTTTAAAAGGGAGACTATCAAGCTTAACATCAAAAAAGACTGTTCTAAACTATATAAGCCAGGAACCAGGCGTATTAATAAAAAGCCCCTGTCAATATCGATAATTAAAATATTTTATGTTTAACAAAAAATACTTCAAATGTACTACCCACCAGCAGTCAAGAGTTTTCAAAGTGGTGAATTTAAACAGTGTTACAACAGAATGAAGATTTCTGAAAAAAGAGGATGCTAACTTGTTATATTTTGGGCCTCATATTTGACATATGTTGATGTTTAGAGTTGAAGACAGTATATAATTCATCAGAAATAGTGCAATTGGGAATTAAGCCTAAAATGTGACTGATTTACTATAGAACAAAGAATACGAAAATTCACCAGGCCGACTCCTTCAAATCGAAGGTATGATGATTAAACATGACTATTAACAAAATTATCAGGACGATAGTTTACCAGTGTCAAAGTATTGAATTATGAAACGAACTTTAATGGGAAAAATAACCATTTGATTGACAAAGAAAAAAGGAAGAAAAAAACGTTAATAATAATATTTTTCACATAATTTAGGTCTAAATTATGTTAATACAGTTGTGTTGTAAAATTATATGTACTTAATTAATTAATTTATATATTTATTGCATTTGTGACTTTACGAAAAATTATAGAATGCAGTAGACAGAAGGAGGAAAGGCACCTCTGCCGGAATCAGCAGCTCTTGTGTATGGCCACACCCTTCGCCGTTGATTAGGTCACACCAGCTAAGTGACCTAGGTCACGCATCTGGTGTGACCTATGCCCTCTGATCGACGTGCACGCCGCGAAGGGAAGTCGGAGGACAAAGTAATGCACATGAATGATGACGACATTCATGATAACGAATATTGTTTTAAAAAAAACGCCCATATGCAATTTCTTTGGCTATTTCATTTCATCATTCAATTGGATATTTATGACACCGCCCACTGACAGTCAAACTATTGGCGAATTTAAAAAGATTATATAATATATTCACACCATTCCATGCTATTAATTTAAACAATGCAACAAAGAAATATAGTTGTTAAATAAGTTTTCGTGATTAAAAAATAAGAACTGTTTCTGATACATAATATAACAAACCGAATATTGATTGTTGTTAAAACAAAATAAATACACGTAAAGTACTATTACTTATATATCAAATTTCAAATATTTGTTGGAAAGTTAAGGCTGTACTACATACGTTAGCAAAGCACAAGGTTTGGCTACCACAATCGGATGACATATCGAGCGGGTTTACAGAGCAAGACGCATTATTTTGTCAAATACACACCAATCAATGATAGCTAGTGAAAGAAAGAGATACTTTGATAAACACAGACAAATATTGGCGTGATCTTTTCGATATCCCCTCCCTTCTTATATAAATTATAAAAAAAATCTAGATAAGAATTGGACGTACTTTACCAAATCCTAAATTTTCTAATGTTTATAGAGCTTTAAAATAAAATAAAGCTTTTCAACATGTTAAGAAATCCTGATATACAAAACTAATCCATGTTCATGTATAATCAAGAGACAGTCGATTTTTAAAGAAACCTATAATCGACTGTCTCCTACAATCGACGGTATTTGCAGACATAATTATACCATGAGATATTTAAAGATTTTTTAAAATTTTATTCTTCAGTCAAGACACAATACATGTAAATATGAGGTAAATAACAAATTTAGTTGACGAGTATAATAGTATATAACTCATGCACATCATCTTACAATATTATTTTTACATAGACAGGAGAAAGAAACATTTACACACACAAAAAAACGACTTATTTCAAAAATAATAATCAAAATTCAACACAATTTTTAAGTCAATAATTTTCTTAGATTATTTTGTATAAAAATGCAAAGTTTTTATATACCGCATAGAAGGGTCAGTGTATATTTTTTCTTCTGTCTATAATAAGATTTGGTATTCTAATAGGAAATGAGATTCGTCGCCTTTGTTTTGATTGCAAGGAGTGCGTTTTCTCTGTCCTAAAGGTATGCTATGACAATTATGGTTTAAACCGGTAGTTAATTATTTATAGTTCTTAATTTGGTCATATATCTTAAATATTTGGTAAATGATTCACTAAGGTATTTCTCAATTTCAGATTAAAAAGAACACAATGATTTTTGCGATAAGATGTGTTTTCTAATCTCTGGAAACAAAGTGATCTCCCGGAAGCATTAATCACAACAAAATAACATAAGAATTGCAGACTCGGTTTGATTGAGTCTGTACATGTGGAATAATGAATAAGTGCAACATCCCTCACGCCCCCTAGCATCCTAAGCCTTATTAAGTACCACTGACTTATGAATATATCAAACAAAATTGATTTAACTGCTTTAACCAGCCAGTTAACGTTTGGAAATTCATGACTCATCCAAATATTAGTAATTTCGCATTCTATAAAATATCTTTTATGAAAGTTATCCATTTGAAATTGAAATTAAGTCACTTTTTAAAAAAATACTCAATGCAACTGCATAGATTTCCATTGTAAATTTTTAGTAATTTGTTACAATTAGTTTTGCCCAAAATGAAATCAACTATACTTTAATTTTAATTGATAACGGTTTGGTACCAGTTTCACCATGTACAATTATATTAAAGGTATTTTCCTTAAGAGAAAAACATGTTTTAAAAACTTAAGTTGTACTCTTTCAATAATTTCTAAATTGCCAAAATCCCCAGATTTCACAGCCAAATACCAGAAGAATAAATATAACCATTTTATTAAAAAAAATCAATTTGAATATTTATAGGTAAGCAGAGATGTTTGAACTTTTTTTATTAACGAAAACATTGCTTTTGTAGCTTCTTTTGCAATTTCCTGCTTTATTTGAGGGAAAAATTTTTTTTAAAAACTGTTTAAATCGTGCAAATGATCATGGTTTATCTTTGAACAAAGAGAAATTTAATGCCAATTCAGGGTACAGGATGTACAGTTTGATGGATACAGACTTACGAACCAGGGCCTTCAAACCAATTGCAAAAATGTATAATTAGGCTTAAAAACAGGATAAGAGTAAAGAATTAAAATAAAACATTTGTAGTTATTTTTTACTTTTATTGGATACCTTTCCAAGTTAATGCATATATTTAATTAAATACATAATCACAAATGAAGCCTCTATGTTGTTTTTTAATCATAGAAAACCTGTTGCTTGCCGGACGGAGGTGAGCTTCCATGCCATGAAGGAATCGAAACTGGGCTATTCTAGTACATAACATTAAAAATGTTTACAACCAGAGGACTACTGTGAAGATTGAGCGTGAAGATTACTAAAAATCATTGCCAAAACACTAACAAGTCCTCAAGTTTAGAACGCTCAACCTTAAATTCCGAGTTGAAACTGGGCGTTAGTCCTGTCGATATTCTATATGATAATAGAAAGTGTCCACTATAAAAAAGTGAAATGGATATTAAAATTGCTTTATTTAATGGTTTGCAAACACTTGAAGCTGTAGGTTACTCAATCAAAAATAGTCTGTCAATGAAATTGCATATGAACAGTAATGAATGACACGTGAAAATTTCCACGGTTTCCACGTGCATCATATTCTGTCCCACAGAAAATAGTTAATTATCGTTATCCCCATTACAAGTCTTAATTTTAGGACAAAAAACCCAAACATATAAAAAATCAACCATTTCAGTTAACTTTACCTTACTCCTTCTTGAATATCTATTTCATTTGGAACGTTCTTCTTCTTCTTCTTCCAGTATAAGAGCCGGGATCCAAAAGGAACGTAATAAGGCTCTGCAAAACTATGTACATGGTGAGATGGAACACTCTTCCGCTCAGCGATAAAAGTTGTAAAAACTGATGAAAACTTTATTTACAGAGACGTTGTGAAGTGAATTAAGATGGAGGCCGGCAGGCGCGCGCGGAAAGCATCCAATGTTTCCGCGGCGGTGACTGTTGATGCCCGGCCATTCCAGTTAACAATTGTCCTGGGGAAGAAGGTATTTGTATACATCCTGCCAGTGGTGCGTTCTTGGTAGAAACGTATACGTGTTCTACTGTCACTGGTGTTCTTCTTGGATTGGTTACTCAGTGGTAGGTACTTGTCCTTGGTCATGCTGAATGCAGTAGAGCATGCCTAACCTTGCTTCCTTCCTTCTCTGTTGGAGGGTATTCCAATCCAGGCTCCTCAGCATTTCTGTCATACATCCAGGTGTTCTGGATTTATAGTCATTTTTGACAAACCTGGCTGCCCTTTTCTGGATCTGCTCAAGTGAATCTATGTGTGTCTGAAGATGAGGATCCCAAACCGTTGCTGCATATTCAAGACCTGGGCGTACAAAAGTGCAGTTACTTGCTGCTTTCAGTTGTGGTGTACAATCCTTCAAGTTTCTCCTCACAAATCCCAGTGTTCTGTTTCCTTTGGCAGCTACATTCTGTATGTGCTTGTCCCATGAGAGGTTGTTGGAGACAGTTACACCAAGATATTTGCTGTGGTCCACTGATTGCAGGACTTGGCCATGAAGTATATACTGGTGTTGGTGATCTATCTTTCTGTTTGATGGTATGTGTAATACATAGCACTTGGAAGCATTGAAGCGCATAAGCCAGGTTCGTTCCCATCAAGATCCTGCTACAGCCTTGTCCTGTCATTTGTACTCTTGATGACCCTGAACATGAGGCTGTCGTCCGCAAAGAGCCGGATGTCATATGATGTGCAGTCAGGCATGTCATTTATGTAGGCCAGGAACAAAAGTGGACCTAGAACGGTTCCCTGTGGAACTTCAGATATAACATCATCATGGTCAGACTTGGTGCCTTCAAGGACTACCTGTTGCTTGCGGTTACTCAGGAAGGATTTGATCCACTGGTTTAAGGGACCTCTCACGCCATAGAAATCTAGCTTGTAGAGGAGTCTGGAATGAGGAACTTTGTCGAACGCCTTCTCGAAGTCGAGTAGAATGGCGTCTTCTTGGGTACCCGCTGAGAGATACTTGGCGATGATGTTAAAAGTTGAGTTTCTCATGAGCGACGTTTCCTGAAACCATGCTGGTTGTCTCTCGGTATATGGTTGGTGTCAAAGTGTGACATTATATTACTGTGGACAATGTGTTCCAGGATCTTGCAGGTGATCGATGTTAGTGAGACGGGCCTATAGTTGGCCGGGATGTGTGTATCTCCCTTTTTGTAGATGGGTACTACATTTGCATCTCTCCAGACCTGAGGTACTTCAGAAGAGTCTAGGGAAAACTGGAAAATGCGGGTAAGTATTGGTGCCAGTTCATCAGCAGCTAAATGGAGGAACCTGGTCGGAATCTCATCAGGGCCTGCAGCTTTATGGCAGTTAAGATTTTGGAGTAATTTCCGTACTCCTGGTTCCCTAACTGTAATAGATCACATGCTGGTGTGGCTTCTTGGTCCCTTAATTGTCAGGTAAGTTCTCTGTGGGTTCTCGGGTGCAGACAGAGCTGAACTGCTGGTTCAGTATACTGGCCTTGCTCTTACTCCGAATGAAACCAGCAATATTCTTCAGGGGAGCTACACCAACCATTTCCTGACCGTTGCTCTTGATGTAGGAATAGAACTTCTTCTTGTTGTCTGGACTACTGTCACTGATGATGTCTTGCATATACTACCGGTTTGCTCGTCTTGTGTGCCACTGGACTTCTTTTTGCAGTCGCTTGTAACGATCTCTGTCTCGTTTGGAGTTTGATTTCCTAGCTTTCTTAAAGGCTTTTTGTTTCCGTTAACATGGTTAAACAACTAACAAAACTTATTTCTAGACAATGCAACCTGCCAAAGTATCAGATCTACAGTAAGTAAGTTAATGCTAAAACCTTCTGGACTGGTTCATGTTTTCAGCATATTCACATTATCATGTTATTTGCATATATAAATTTTCAATTGCCTTAAAAGGACTCATGCTGCTTAATTACCTAATTCTTGGTACTGTATGCAAACAGGCTTGCTTCCGCGACATTATTCTATTAATATTTTTTTCTAAATGACGATTGTTTAAAGTACATAAATTTTTTACACAACGGAGTAAAATGATGTTGCTGTATATTTCAATAAGACACTAAAGATTTGATATCTTCCCGTTTCTAGCTACATAGGTACGTGAAAACGAAGTTCAACTTGTGTATGATAGAAATTTAGTGTCATGGAACCTTTACTTGAGACTAAAAGCCAGTTTATTATGATTCTCCGCCCGGAAGTAACATATTCTACTTCCGCTGGAAATTGGGTGACAGTTCTGTTTTACAGTCCCAAATTTGGGCACTAAAAGGATTGTTGTCAACAAGCAGAATGACGTTAATTTGTAGAAATAATATAACTGAATTGTGTGAGAAATGGCGGACTGTCAATTTGAGATTGTCATTCACTTAACGAAATTTGTAACGTCTTGCGGTTGTCTCCCTTTATTCTCACTTAGTCAAAAGTAGGCTCAGAAGAAGATTGTAAGAGTGTTTGAAGAATGGCTTTTAATGAGAAATAAACACTTGACTTTTGCTCTGCATTATGTAAATATGTAGTCTGTGTACTGATGTAGTCAACACTTGTAACATCAAAATGTTATAGGGTTTTTTTTCATGTCTGTAAATATCTCAAAAAAAATCTGCCATCAAAAACTTAAGAAGTTAAACTAAAAAACATCCTTAAATGAAATAAATCAATATGGGAGATCCTTCTTTGAGGAAGAGCTCTGCATTAAAACGACTACGTAGTCAATTAAAGAAAAAGCAAGAATCTTTAGCAGACCACTTCGACTTTAAGATGTATGTTACATTTCACTTCAAAGAAAAGGTATACATTCAATGTGGTGACACAAAGTTATTATTCACTGTAATATATGAATATGAAATCAGTTGCTACCTATGAGATGGAAAAGTCTTATAATTAAATAACAAGCATAATATAAAATTAGGCAAAGCCTATGAACGGAAAAGTCATTTAAAATTCCTTTCATTTGTTTCTGTGTCATTCCATATTTCATGCACCACTTCGGTTTTCACTTGGAACACTCGACGTTTTATTATTGAACTTTTTCGAAAACCAAGCTTAACACCGTTTTCCGGTACGTTACGGATTTAGCTCTGGGGAATTACACCAAATGAAGTACATAACACAGTACATGATATTTCTATTTTTCTATCATTATTTTACCGTTAAAGGTGAAAACAAATTGATGTATTGGAAAATTATCAATATTCCTTTAATATGTATTGCAAATTTTTCAAAAAATGAAATGTTTATAATGAAAATCAATAAAATCAAAACAGACGTAGTGGATTCTTCCATTATAAATAAGGTTATTTTCTGCGTAAACTTATGTATTTACTTTATTTTTTGTATGGAATTATTCATACAATTATATTTAGTTAGTTTCTTGTAAAGAAATAACTGTTTTATTTCAATTTAATTTAAAAAAAAGGCTGAAAACATCGAGTTCGCTATTACACTCCATATTAGGTGAATTCCCCAGAGCTATGTACAGAAAGTAACAGAAAACAGCGTTTAGCTAGGTTTTCGAATTCATAAATTAATCCTAAAAAGTTGAGATTTGTTCTGTTATGGGGATACACCATCTTTTATCATTGAGTTACATTGTAAATGGTGGCTCTTAACAAGAACTGATACTGAAAATTTAATTGATAGGATAAGGTATAAAATTCCAGGGCTCACACTGGCTCAAATAAAATAATAGCCAATAATTTCAACTTAAAAAAATAATAGCCAAAAGTTCAGCAGACTATTCACAAATTAGCGATTAACAACATAAGCAGTTGATTAAATAAACATTACATATACAACTTTTTCAGTTTTATAAGGATTCTCAAATAAACTGATACATTTGTGTATATTGATAACTCCCTTTTTTCTAAATAGAACCACAACTTTGTTATTATAGAACAGAATAAAAACGTTATAATTAGTATAATTACTGTATAACAAGAATATTAAAGATTTATTATAACTTTACATAATGCTGTTATCAGACAACTTTTTTGTTTGTTCTAATCAAATTTTGTCAGCTATAACCACTGTCAATTTCCACATTTCACACTGAACTGGAGTGGATCTAGGTCATATTAGCCTATAGAAATAACACAAGTTTGCAAACTCATTCACAGAATGCAGCTTTTTTTCTGAATAATTTACTGAAAAAATATCATCATCACCAATGTAATACAAATTTTCTGCCATAGTAGTAAAGATTTTTAAACAGAACATAGCTTATTTCACCTTTAAATAAATTTCAAAATTATCGGTGTCGCGAAAATATGTGACAATCGGATTTTTCCTGTTTTCTGAAGAAATATTCACAATTTTGGTTGTTGTGCAAATAGTTGTTTGAAAGTTTATACTTTCTAAATACTTTACCATTGTTTTCCACTGGCGATTTAGTCAAATAGCTTAATACAAAAAAAAATCAAAATTTGCAATTAAAAATCTACTGCAATTCACGGTAAATTTTGGGTAAGTCAATATCCAGTTTATCAATTTTAAAACGATTTTTGTGGCTAATTGACAGGTATTTGATGGCTATTATAAATGCTGGACAATATCTTTAAAGTACTTATACAATTAAACATCTCGCATGTATTTTTTCACCTCGGGCAATATAGTAAGCAGCACGTGACCGGTAAGAAGTTGACACTCAATTAAATGCACCCCGCTGGTGTTAATTGGGTCTACTGCATTCATTATCGATTTTTACACCTTATATAAACAATGTTGGAAGTAAAAAATAATCGCCAGATTTTGTAGCCAAAATGCAAAAATAATCGCCAATCTTATAAAATAATCGCAAATGGCGACTATGGCGACCGACAGCGTGAGCCCTGAAATTCTATATATTTTTTAACTGTGTTTTATTTGAATTTCTTTTAACCTTTTACCCCATGAGCATATTGCAAAAATGGCATTGAAAAGCCTCCTGTAACAAGTTCAAACTGCTATGAAACTATGAAAAATGCTTCAATACTGATGAAACTTGGCACAAATGTTGACTACACCATAGCCTCTGTAACAGCATGCTCAATCGTTAATTTCCTGTTACCATGGCAACAGGGGGACGTCTCAAAATTGCCAAAAATCACTATTTTGCATTGCTTTTTTCCATCAAAACTCAATGAATTGAGATGGAGTAAATGGCTTTTCAGCGTCCGTTACTAGTTACCCTAAGATCGACCTGAGGCCATTTTAAGCCTGTCACATGTCCAAAATTTTCTTGGCGATGAGGGGGACTCCGCCCCCCATTCAAACCTCCCAAACAGAAGGGGGCACATCCCCCTTTTGGCAACTCCCTGATGTAACATTTGGATGAGGGACGGCGCCGAAAAAGTGGTCACTTATTTTAACAACATTTCTCAAATGAAAACCAGTGTTTGGGGCCTTAATAGGGCATTTTTTCACTGTTTTAAGGCCTCAAAAAGGGGGGGGGGGCAAAAAGCCGTCGAAACACGCTTATATGAGGGAAAAGATTAAATATACATATGTAGTCTATAGCAGGGCATGTCAAAGCCAGGGCCCGCTTTGCGGACCCCGTCTTTGACTATCCCATATAATTTACAATATATAAACCAGATCTTTCCAGGACTTCATACATAATAGTAAAATAAAATGCAAATATTTTGTATCGTTAAATGGATTTAAATGAATTGGTGGTGTTCAACCTATCATTTTTGTTAATTTTTAATCAGAGTTTTTGCTTTTACCTTATTTAAATTGATGATTTATCAAAATGGATATTAAAAAAGTTAACTTTTTATGTCTATCATCATTACTTTAGTTTACTGCCAAAACGTCCAGTATAGTCCCTGAATGGCCTGAAATCGATTAACTGTCACAGAGCAGTGTTGCATCTATAATCTAGGGATTTTGTCCACCCTGTCATTTTCACAGGAGGGCTTTCATCTGCCCAGTCTTTTTTATCGGGAAGGGTTTTGTTCGCCGTGTCCTCACAGGAGGGCTTTTGTCTGCCCTACAGGAGGGCTTTTTTAAGGGAGGGATTTTGTCCTACACTCTTGTTTATTAAGATTTAGTGTTTAAAATTATTTTTTGTCCAATAGGATTGCAGTATTTCAAATGAATTGTAACACATTTACTTTAGTAAATCGGCAGCTGCACCGCGCCTAACCAATTTGATTTTTTAAATACGCACCTATACATAGAGCTATACTATAGAATATTTCTGAATGAATGAATATTTAATACCTGTGTGTATATCATAAATATTCATATGTGATATTACAGAAAAAGAGTTGTGCAGTTTTTGAAGTAGAAGAGGTACTCCCAGTGATGACAAATAATTACGAAGAATGTATAAAGGAAGGAGCAAAGGTACATGCAAATAATGTCTGAAAATAGCTCATGAGCTTGTGGGGTATTTTTTTGTTATTGTATAATGTATTTGAAGATAAATAAATTTTCTTGTATTATGTGGCATTCATCAAAAGTAAATAATATAGAAAATATATACAACTAATCAGTCCTATTTTATGATACTTAATTGATTACAAGTCTTAAGTTCTTCAACCACTTGTAAAGCCAAGAAGTCAAAATATGACCATTTAAAGTGTCTGTGTGACTTAACACTCTTCCATCTCCAACTCCCCAAAATGAACGAATATATGCCTGTTCTTTTATCTATTGCTAATAAAAAATTCTTTATTTTCCTGTAATTTTTTTAATCCATAGTCCATACCAACCTTTTGAATAAGCCAGAAAATACATAAAAAATGTCTAATGGTCAGTGATATACCTGTCCTAATTTATACAGGGTACTGTTAATAACCTTATTGTACTGAAAGTTATTAAAATCATTTTGAACACATGAATATTAAAAGTAAGTCAACAGGATCATATAAAATGCAATTTAATAGGACTTTTTATTGTATACACATTTCAGAATGAGTCATACTCTGAGGAAAGTTCAAAGGAATTGATAGAAAAAGATATAGTGCAATTCCATGCACCCAGGTGGCAACCATTGAGGAGGGTAAATATTTACTTTCAGCACTTTAGTGGGGTTCAGATGTGAATTACTATCAACATTTGAGTTTTCTGTTACAAATGTAGTGTTTTAGGTATAAATATTAAGAATACATGCTTTGTTTCTTTATACATAATTAAATCAGGCTTCGTAATTAATTATATAAGATCCTATTTACCTTAGGGGGACTTTACTAGGGACCATAAGGTAGGGGAATTTTGCATTGATTTGATAAAAATGGAATTTTGTGTGCCAACGATATTCCGCCTAATGCCGAGAACTACTTATTCTTTTTTGATAAGGCAACAAACATTGTTGCGGTTCCTAGCGTAAAGCAGGGTCGGTTGGGGGTTAAAATGAAGAGAAAAAAAATAGGGGACAAATATAAACTCTAATTGGAGAGGAATTTTTGGCCCCAAAATCTTGAAATGAGGGCTTTGTTCTGTTTCCTTGGTTTGCTTTATGATTTTATCTACACTGTAAAAACTGTAAAAAGAAAAACTATTTTCTGCTTAATAATTGTTATTTTAGAACTTGAACTTAAACTGTAATTTCTCTCTTAATATTATAATATTTTGAGCAATTTAAGAGGAATTTGTAATTCTGTAAATAGTGTTTTTTTTTAATAACCAGGATTTGATTGGTTGTACAACAGATGTTGATTATTTTCTCTGGCCACGGAACGATATTGATAGGATTGAATGTAGCCTATTCTCAAAATGGAAAGAGGAGCAAGGCCCATTCAAGAAAATAGAGGTAGTATGGTATTAATATATCATCACATTTATGTTTACTATGAAAAAGAGTGTGACTTTATGTTGGAGTGGTGGTCCAGATTGATATAATACTCATTTGAACATCTTCGACAGTCTATAAAAATTGGTGGGGAAAGTCTTTGAATGACATATAAATATTAATAACCTTTACAGTGTATTGTAACTTAATATAAATGTAATGTGGAGAAAAAGTCATGTGAACATGCATTAAATTTATTAAAGATGATTGGATTGTTTAAAATATAAAATTGACCAGGGTTTTAAGGAAAGTTACATTAGGTCAGACTTAGTTATGTTTAATATTCAGGTCTGTTATTGTTATTCAGTTTTGATAAACTATATTGTGTAAAACTTGAATTAGTGATTGTTTTATCAAAAGAAAGTTTATCTTTCTCCAAAATATCAGTTATTATCCCCCGCCGAAAAATTTCGGCGGAGGATATAGAAATAGTCTCCGTCCGTCCGTCCGACCTTCCGTCCGTCCTTCCGTCCGACATTTTTGTCCGGAGCATATCTCTAAAAGTATTTGAGTTATCAACTTGAATCTTCATAGGTGGATAGACCTCATTGAGGAGGAGTGCAGTGCACAAGAATGATAACTCTACCTTGCATGATTTTTGAGTTATTGCCCTTTGTTATTTTTCAAAATTGATTTTTGTCCAGAGCATAACTCCAAAAGCCTATGAGATATTAACATGAAACTTCATAGGTGCATAGATCTCACTCAGGAGGTGTGCAGTGCACATGAATGATAACTCTACCTTTCATAATTTTTGAGTTATTGCCCTTTGTTATTTTTCATACCTAATTTTTCACCTGAGTGGAGCATAACTCAAAAAGTGTTTGAGATATCAACATGAAATGTCATAGTTGGATAGATCTTATTGAGGAGGAATGTTGTGCGAAAGAATGATAACTCTTCCCTATACAATTTTTGAGTTATTGCCCTTTGTTTTTTTATGCTATTTTGTCCAGAGCTTATCTCAAAAAGTATTTGAGGTATCAACTTGAAACTTCAAAGGTGGATGGATCTCATTGCGGAGGAGTGCAGTGCTTAAGAATGATAACTATACCCTGCATTATTTTTGAGTTATTGCCCTTTGTTATTTTTCAAAATTAATTTTTGTCCAGAGCATAACTCAAAAAGCCTTTGAGATATCAAAATGAAACTTCATAGGTGCATAGATCTCACTCAGGAGGTGTGCACTGCACAAAAATGATAACTCTACCTTTTATAATTTTTGAGTAATTGCCCTTTGTTATTTTTCATACCTAATTTTTCAATTCAATTTTTTTCTCAAAAAGTATTTGAGGTATCAACTTGAAACTTCATAGGTGGATAGATTTTACTGAGGAGGGATGCAGCACACAAGAATGATAACCTACCCTGCATTATTTTTCAGTTATTGCCCTTTGTTATTTTCATTCATCAGTATTCACATAGGTTTCCATTTGTAATCACTATAGCCATCAGTTTTCATTACCAAAAGACCTCTTAAAATAGAATTATTCTGTTCTATTACATTTACATTCTTCCAATGAGCAAACACATTCGGCGGGGGATGGCCATGTTGACATGGCTCTTGTTTAATATTAGTATATGCATAGTAATGTTCCCTTTGTATTGTTTGTCAAACATTTTGTGATCCTAAAATCACCACTCAATGACACCTCAACCTTTAAGTCAAATTTTCCTTTGAAAATATTTTTAAAAAATCTGTAAAATTAGTCAGGTAATACAGGTAACTATTGATTATTTATATAGTAGTTGGGGGGAAAAACAGGTGTACTCAAAATGCTACTGATGAGTATATAATCATTAGTAGATTACTCATCGTTGTTTACAAAACCTACTCTGTATGTTTATGAAGCATTGAAGACTGATAACAAAACCCTCCTGTTGTTTCACGGACATATTAAAGTAGCTCTCGCCAATGCAATATGTACCAATAAATACAATCAGTATTTCGACATTCATCTGAAATACTTGTGTTTTCAGACACTAATTTCAAGAAAAGTAACAGATATTGAAAATAAGTAATATATTGATTCTGTATCATTTTAGGCTAGAAACAATAATGGTTTAGTTATTACTTTTTGTACTTGAATAATGGTTTAAAATGACAATAAAAGGAAATTTGAAATATTTTGTTATATAATTTCAGATGGAGTTTGAGTTTCTACAGAGAGATATTGAGAAGCAAGCTGTGTTTTTGTTGACGAGGAAAGAAGATACTGGACTTATCATTAGTAACCCTGACCAGAACATGTTTCTGTTCATTGACCGACTTAATCTACAGGTACTGTACAGTCATGTTTTACAAAAATACGTACATGCATATGTACTTGCACAAATATTTTTTCTTTTCGTTTTGGATTTTGAAAGCACTTGGTTTTTATATATCAAAATAAGTCAAAACTTTTTCAGGACAAAAATTATAAAGATGCACTGAATATGAGCTTATGGGACTGACTGATTGGGGAAAATATAGATACCCAGTCAGTTCATAATTAAATGTTATTTAAGATCAGCTTTAACTTGCAAGTGAAAAAAAAGAACACCAAAGCTTTAATTAAAAAAATCAAAATCACAGCTGGTGTTGCAAATGGATTTGTTTGTTGCAGTTTTTTGTGATCGCTTTTCGTCCGGCGTCCATCGGTCGTCCGTCCTGCGTCCGTAAACTTTTGCTTTAAATGACATCTCCTCATAAATCACTGAGCCAATTTCATCCAAACTTCACAGGAATGTTCCTTTGGTGGTCACCTTTGAAAATTAATCAAATAATTTAATTCCATGCAGAACTCTGGTTGCCATGGCAACCGAAAGAAAAATCTTTAAATATCTTCTTTTAAACAACCCTAAGAGCTAGAGCTTAGATATTTGGCATGAAACATCTTCTAGTGAGTGTCTACCAAGTTTGTTCAAATAAAAGCCCTGGGGTCAAAATTGGCCCCGCCCCAGGGGGTCATTGATTTTCCCAATATGCATAAAGTAAAAACTTAAAAAATCTTCTTTTAAAGAACCCAAAGAGCTAGAGCTAAGATATTTGGCATGAAACATCTTCTAGTGAGTGTCTACCAAGTTTGTTCAAATAAAAGCCCTGGGGTCAAAATTGGCCCCGCCGCAGGGGGTCATAGATTTTCCCTATATGCATATAGTAAAAACTTAAAAAATCTTCTTTTAAAGAACCCAAAGAGCTAGAGCTAAGATATTTGGCATTAAACATCTTCTAGTGAGTGTCTACCAAGTTTGTTCAAATAAAAGCCCTGGGGTCAAAATTTGCCCTGCCCCAGGGGGTCATTGATTTTCCCTATATGCATATAGTAAAAACTTAAAAAAATCTCCTTTTAAAGAACCCAAAGAGCTAGAGCTAAGATATTTGGCATTAAACATCTTCTAGTGAGTGTCTACCAAGTTTGTTCAAATAAAAGCCCTGGGGTCAAAATTGGCCCCGCCCCAGGGGGTCAATGATTTTCCCTATATGCATATACAGTAGAACTTCTATGAGTCGAACTTCGATGAGTTGATTTTCTCAATGTCTCGAAGAAAAATTAAAGTCCCGACTTTTCCCCCAATATATTCCTTATAAAAACCTATTGATGAGTCGAGATTTTATGTGTCGAATTTTTCGATGTGTCGAAGTTTTTTGGTGGTCTGTGTTAAGTAAATCTAGTGCAATTTACCACAAATAAGTCGAAGTTGTTCGATTATTTTGACACCGTCGATCTTTAGACATTTTTCACACCTTATCTGTCTGCGAAGACGATTTCCAATCAACTTGTGTGGCAGATGTTAATTATACAGCTGTGTGTTCAAACAGCCTTTGTTTGCGATAAAATGTGTGATAAAATGCTTTAATCGTTACTATTTTAATTGCCGTAGTGGTATTTGAAAGTAAACAGTAAGAACTACTTTCATTTGATTATATCCTTGACCCGGAGTCGCGTGAGAATAACACGCGAAATTTATACTAAAAGTTGGTAAAGTTTCGTCCTTTCGTATTGTTACGCCTTTTGCAACTCTATTGTATACGTCAAGGGGTAGTCCAAATATTTAAAAAAAAAACGTTATTTAACATGCTATATTTATCATTGTAAAATGTGAATATCATATTAATAATGGAAAAAACATGAAATAGGTTTCGTTATAGACTAGTCACGGGTCAAATTTTGTCATGAAATTGAGAGCGATTCATGAGTCGAAGTCTCGATATGTCGAAGTTTTTACGCAAGTCCCTTCGACTTACCAAAGTTCTACTGTAGTAAAAACTCAAAAAAATCTTCTTTTAAAGAACCCAAAAAGCTAGAGCTAAGATATTTAGCATGAAACATGTTCTAATGGGTGTCTACCAAATTTGTTCAAATAAAAGCCCCGGGGTCAAAATTGGCCCTGCCCCGGGGGTCATTGATTTTCCTTATATGTGTATGGCAAAAACTTAAAAATCTTCTTTGAAAAAACCCATATAGCTAGAGTTTAGATATTAAGCATGAAACATCTTTTAGTAAATATCTACAAAGTTTGTTCAAATAAAAGCCCTGGGGTCAAAACTGGCCCTGCCCCAGGGGTGTCATTGTTTTTAACTATATGTGTATAGTAAAAACTTAAAAAATCTTCTTTTAAAAAACCCAATGAGCTAGAACTTAGATGTTTAGCATGAAACATCTTCTTATGGGTGTCTACCAAGTCTGTTCAAATAAACAAATAAAAGCCCTTGGGTAAAAATTGGCCCGGGCGGGGAGGGGGCTATATACAGGTGAGCGACCTCAGGGCCATCATGGCCCTCTTGTTTAATGTAAAGTTCTGTATATTATGGGATAAATTTAGCTTTTGTTTATAAACAATTTATGTACAAAATATTTATAGTTCAAACCATTCATGTTAATTTACATGTGATTTAATTATAAATGAATGTTTCACATCTGTTTTAGACCCAGAAGAACATGGTAACAATATTGAAGTTAGCCAGTGTATGTGTATACCTACCACAAGATCAACTTATGTACTGGGGAGCTGAAACCATTGAACATACTCTAAACTCACTGATGAATACACATAGCAGTCAGAATTAAGACAATTTGTTTTGTTTTTGAAGGTCGTGGGAATGTTTCTGAAGAACTTTTATCTAAAACATTATGTAATGGACTTTGTAAGCTTTTATTTTTGGATATTTCACCATAATCCTGCTGAGTTTCTTAAATGGACTTGTCCAGCTTACATTTTTGGAACTGTCCATTATCAATTTTAGGTACATCAAGATGAATATATGAAGTTGGTCAGCCAACAGTGTAGAGCCTGGTCAGACTGCACTGATATGCAGGCTGGCCTGGCTCTATACTGGTGGCACAGTCTTATTACTTTTGGTTCAAGCAGGTTATAGGTTAATAGATTTCAGTATCAAAATGTTATATAACTTACAGAGTCTGGTCAGACTTAAACAAACATACATGTTTACATTGCTGGATACTTGTAGCATTGGCAACGGAATTGTTTGAATTCTAGAAATAATAACATCAGTGGTGATTTGTTTTATGGCTTGACTAAGAATAGGGATAGATATTGCACTCACCCCGGAGCTGGTGCTAGTGTCACATTTTGGTTATATTTTTTGTGTGCAAGTTGGTATTTCTAAAACTACTGAAGGAAATAGGTTAAAACTTCACTAACTTATATGAGAGCATAATACTTGACCACTGTCAAAGGCCCATAACTCTAACATGGATTTTGATGGAATTATGGCCCTTTTGGAACCTCCTGAAATTTTTCATTATTAAGGCTCTTATTTAACTATCAAGCACTAAGAATAGTCGAGCAGGCTGTCAAACTGACAGATCTTGTTTTTTTTGTGATTTGACTGCAAATATGATAAGATTTCAAGTTTGATTATAGAAAATATATTATGTTTTCTTTAAAGGATTGGTTATCGCATTATATTTATTTTGATTTGGCTCGCATAAGTTTAGTTTCAGTGTAAATAATAAAATGAGAATATGATTTTCATGTACAGAAATTTGTAAGATTAATACACTTTTTTTCATGCATTAGTATTTGCTGAGGAAACTCAACATCAAATACTGTCTGAGGAAGGCTACTGATCAAAATGCTTGATAAACAGTGTATGGGTCTTCTTTGTGTATACATGTAGTTTACCATATGAGCCGCGTCATGACAAAACCAACATAATGCGTATGTGACCAGCATGGATCCAACCAGCCAGCGCATCCGCGCAGTCTGATCAGGATCCATGCTGTTCGCTTACCATTTCTATTACAAGTAGAGAAACTGATAGCGAACAGCATGGATCCTGATCAGACTGCGTGGATGCGCAGGCTGGTCTGGATCCATGCTGGTCGCAAACGCATAACGTTTGTTTTGTCATGACACGGCTCATATTTTTATTTTCAAAATATTTGTCTTATTATTAAGTTTTGTGATTGTCAAAATTATCACATATGCTTATTACTATATTGACATTTTGTTTTCAATCAATGTTGTTTACACTCAAAATATTTACAGAGTAGAGCTAAAATATATAATTTAAGTTATTTAATTAAATTAAACATAAATTATGATTTGATTCATAAATGAATATGTGAGATAAAAACTATTTTAAGTTTATAAAATCATGATTTTGTCAAAGACCTCATCTTTCCTGCTGACTATGATTGAAAAGTGCTGAAAAAAAAATATTGGTTTTTAATCACATTTTAAAAATGTAATATGACCGTGAAAACTTAAATAGAAAATTTTAATATTGATTTAGAATAAATTTTTTGATTTTTTTAATCTATTTGGTCACAAGAGAGACAGTATACCTAGACTTATAGGCTTCATTGTTTAATTAGGAGATGAACTATTTAAAAAGTTTAGTAATGAAAAATAAATTTGCCTAATTAGATAAATTTATACATGTATCATTAACATCAATAGGTCTGCATATATTATTTTTGTCCCATTTTGTGTTTCTGACTCGACTGTAAGCTAAAGATACTTAAATGCAAAATACCCCATGTATTGAAATATATTTTATATATGACCTTGACATCTAAATGACATTGACCTTTAAGGTCAAAGTTTACAGATTCAGAAAATTTCACAATTAAGTTTGATGATTAAGAAAGATTGAAGACAATGACTGTCATTTATTTTAATTCTGATCGGGTGTGTCATATTCCCAAATGCAGAGAATTAAACATTTTTATAAGGATGGATATTTTGATGTTAGAACGCTTCAAGTTTAAGATTTTTTTCCGTGGGGGTTATTTTTGCATATAACAATGTTTAAATAGTTTGACTGTGGGATTTTAACCATTAATGTCACATTTAAACAAAGCATTAAGTTGAATGGTAGCCTAGTATCGACCAATCCACCCAGGAATTTCCTCAAAAGGCACCAATATGGGCAAGTTCCAGGAAGTGGACTTGAGATTTTTTGCAATAAGTTACAGACCTTCTTTTTGCAATCCGAGCTTTTAAATATAACTTTAAAATTAAAACACAGTATTGCTTTTTAATTATTTTATACAATTTACTGAAATGTTTTTGTTGTTATTTTATTTTCTTGTGTGAACTCTGTGTACTTGATATTATTAGTTATAAAGGTTTTGGAGAGGCTAAATGGACTTGCATGAACAGTTTTGAGGTTATATAACATAGGCTGCTGTGTTATGATTGTATCTTGCTTATATATGTAATTGTTCATATAACTTATCATAAGTCTTAAAAATGCATAAAGAAAATTGAAAAAAAATGAACATGTGTATAGAGCAGAAAATATACAATTCTTGATTGTATTATTTTGATAATAACAATTTTACAGAAGCACAATTTGTCTAGATTGTATGGTACACATACATGTATTAAATTTTTACCAATATAAGATTTATGATTTTTGAATTGTTGCATGAATATTATAAAAGTTTCCATTCAGGATCACTTTGTTGCTTTGTTTAATTAATCAGATATATTAAAAATGCTGTTATTAAAAACATTGGCATGTGCACTATTTTGTTCTTATAAAATAATGCACCAGTCAGTTGTAACCACCACCCATCCATCACTGGAACCACCACCCACCCATCACAGGGAACTACCACCCACCCATCACAGGGAACCACCACTTACCTGTCACAGGAAACCACCACTTACCTGTCAAAGGGAACCACCACCCACCCATCACAGGGAACCTACACACACCCATCAAAGGGAACCAACTCCCACCCATCACAGGGATTCACCACCTGTCACAGGGAAGTGCAGAAGAGACTTGTACATAATGCAATGGTTCTTTTTCAATAAGGTTTATAGTAATGTTTAAAGAATCATTAGCCTGTAAGTCCATCATATTGTTTATATCCAAGGTTATCATTGTATATATTACATTATTGTTAATATTTCCTCAGTATAAATACTAATTACACATGCTATTATATAGGTCCTGATTTTTACAATATTTACCTGCCTTTACAGAAGTGTCATTCATTTAGGGGCTCGTTATTATGTTCAATGGACAAAAATGAAGAGCTAAGAAAACAGCTGATTTATGTTAATTGTTCAATTTTTTTACTTAATTAAAAGTATTATTCAATGAATATACTGTGTATAATAAAAGTTTCAGGTTTTATTGAATAGAATTGTGAGAGATTGTTTTATTTAATCTTAAGCACATGATAATGTTGAGAATGACCCTCATAGTGTGGCCCAGGTATACTTCTTAGCTTACCAGATTATGAAACAAATTGTGATCTTTTATGCACCATCCTCTTTTAAGTGTGGTCCTCCTTTTCAGTATATAATTGTTTTTATCCTACTTTTAATATATTTATACAAATCTGAAGCCTGTTGTAAACATGACAAATGAAGAAAAATGTTCTCTTCTAAAAAAATGAAATCCACAATTTAGAGCACATACATACATACATACATACTATTATTGAAAAGGTCTTTTCTTTTATTAAAATGTTGTGAAAAAAGCTTGCTATTTGTATTAGGTCAATTAAAACTTTTCCCTTTAAATCTTTATTCAGGAAAACAAAAAGTTTCAAAGCATGGTTAATGTATTTCCTTGGAATGTTGATCCTGATGTGTAAGAATACAAAAAGATAGATGATTGAAAAACATTTAATGTCTGTTAGTTATGTGTTGTAGATATATTCTATTCCAGCTACGGTTGTGAAGTTGTGGTAAGCAAATATAAGGTCATCATGTCTTGTACGTTTATTTTATGTTTTGGTTATTGTAAAAAATGTCTTCATTGTTAAAGAATAAATAGCTCATCTGTTTTGAAGAAAAAGTTGAGCAAAAAAATTATGATCACTGTGTTGTTGCCATGCAATACTTTGTTGTAGCCAATTACTCAAACATTTTGATAGGTATCCACATGCAACTTGGAATACTTGCTTATCTTGACAAGGTGCAAGCTAGACCAGAGGCATTTTTCTGAAAACTAATTTTTAGCTCGACTTTTCTATGAAAAGGGGAGCTATCCTACTCGCCCCGGCGTCGGCGTCGGCGTCGGCGTCACACCTTGGTTAAGTTTTTCGTACCACCCCACTTTATTTCAGAAGTATTACAAGTATGGCTTTGAAACTTACCATACTTGTTCACCATCATAACCTCCATCTACAGACAAGAGTACATAACTCTGTCAAGGTTTTTGACAGAATTATGGCCCTTTTTTGACTTAGAAAGTGTATTGAGCTTGGTTAAGTTTTTTGTACCACCTCACTTTATTTCAAAACCATTGGAGGTATTGCTTTGAAACTGACCATACTTGTTTACCATCACGACCTTCATCAACAGACAAGAGGACATAACTCTGTCAAGGTTTTTGACAGAATTATGCCCCTTTTTGACTTAGAAAATACATTGAATATGGGTAAAAATCCACTTATTGCCTTAACCCTTTGAGATATTGCTTTGAAACTTTTAATGCTATTTCACATCATTACCCCCATCTGTACGCAAGAGAAGGTAACTCTGTCAAGGATTTGTTTTAAAAATTAAGGCCTTTTATCGACTTAGAATCTTGGTTAAGTTTTTAGTACCAGTCCACTTTTTGACTGAACTGTTTGAGATATTAATTTGAAAGTTGGAATACTTGTTTACAATCATGATTCCCAAACATGTCCAGGAGAAGGTAATTCTGTCAAAGATTTTATTTGAATTATGGCCCTTAACTGTCAATGTTAAGCACTAAAAAACTTAAAAAATCTAAAAAAATTCATTCCTATCCACTTGTTCACTTTACCATAAATTATGTCATATAAACATTGCTGTAATATTCAAGGGTATCAAACAACTAGTTCACTTTAAAAATACAGAGATTCTTGTATTGCCTTTTACTGCAAAAACTTTTTTTATTGGCAAGCAATAAAAAAGTCGAGCGCGCTGTCTTACGGACAGCTCTTGTTTTAGTTGGAGTTATGTCCCTTTTTAACTTAAGGTTTGAGGGGGTCAAAATTGGTTGTTGATAGTTGTTGCCCTTAACAGACAAATGTTTACACTTTATGCAGTGCTCTTATTTTTATGCATTCTGTTCAGTATTTTTATGTAAATCAATAATTGTTATAAACTGTATTGATCTAAGAAGATAAATCGGTCTTTTCATGGATGATTTCGACATAAAAAGCTTGGAGACCACAATAATGTGGGAATTTTTAATAAGTTCTTCAGATTTATTATTGTGATATCAGAGCATTTAATCATGTGAACAAATAATGTTGTTTTAGTTACATTGATACAATTTTACATCAATACAAACAAAACAAAATTGCCTATGAGTGATAAGGATGCCATGTGACTAATACAACTGGCTTATCAGTTTTCTGTTTACTTATTTTGTAATATATTTGTCTATATGGAAAGCTCAATTACAAGGAAATATCTAGTCTTGTTTGGTTTTGTAATACCAAGTAATACATTTGTACATTATACAGAAAGTGTGATTAGATGTCTGAAGCAAATCTGAAATGTAATAAATGTATAGATACTGTGTATTGAGTTGTTGTTTGTTGATTAAAAGTTGTATCCTTACATACAACCTTTCCAAAATAAAAACTTTAAAAGCCCATTAAGCCTTAATAGCGCTATCATTTGTATTTTTCAAAACTTTCATTTCTTGGTGAGAGCTATATCCCTCCACATACCTTTGGCATTGTTTACACACTATATATAAAGCTTTATCTAATGAAAAATTTTATAAAATATTTGAACAGTAAAATTATGCTGTTTCTGTAATATTATGGTTGATTTGCGAAAATATGTTGTTCCATAGAAAGTTTGTTATTTAACACATATGAAGCTTGTTCTGGGTGAGTTTTTTTAGATCGTTGAATGTCCCTCATCAGTCTATGTTTAGTTTGTCAACACCTTTGCCTCAGTTGTCACCAAACTTGATCAGGATATTTATCACAGTGATTGCTCAGTCAAGTTCCACAGATGAAAAACTAGGTCACTGGAGCCAAAAAAAGAAAAATCTTGTTTTTTCGCTACTGTTTAGGTTTAAATATACTGGAAATTGGTCAGAAAAGTTGTTTTCATGACTTCTAGATCAAGTTAGATTATGGGTTAGATGGACCAGTTCACACAGCCTAGTTAACACTCCAGAGGCAACTGTTTTCATCCATATATATTTGAAATTGGTTAGAAAGGTAAATGTTTAGATTATTTCTAGCTTTTTTTCAAAGTTCAGATATGGGCCATCTTGAATAAAAAAAAATAGGTCACAGCCCAAATATGGAAAAACCTTGTTAGCACTCTAGAGGAAACATTTTAAGCACAAATGTCCTGAAAATGTGTCAGAAAAATTGTTCAGAAAATTTGACCTCGAGCTCAAATATGAGTCACCTTTGGTCAAAATCTAGGTCACACAGCCCAAAAGTTGAAAAACCTTGTTAACACTGTAGAGGTAAAATTTCAACCTTACTATCCTAGAAATTAGTCAGAAAAGTTGTTTAATTGATCTCTAGCTCAAGTCTGAATATGGGTATTCTAGGATCAAAAACTAGGTCACACAATCCAAATATAGAAAAACCTTGTGTACTGTTTCAGTCCAAATATCTTTGAATATGTCAGAAAGGTTGTTTAGATAATTTCTAGCTCATGTTTGAATAAAGTCATCTGGGGTCAAAAACTTGGTTACATAGCTCAAATATGAAAACAAATCTTGTTAACAGTCTTGAGGAAACATTTTCAGCCAAAATATCCGGAAAAATTGTCAGAAAGATTGTTTAGATGATTTCTAACTAAAATTGGAATATGTCAAAAATTAAGTCACAAAAATTAAGTCACAAAGCCACACTTTAGAGACTAATGTTTGGACAATTGGTTAGGAAGGTTGTTTACATGATTTCTAGCTCAAGTTTGAATATGGGTCATCTGGTGTCAAAAACTAAGTCACACAGTTGACCTTGTTAACACTCTTGAGGTAACATTGTCAGCTAAAATATCCTGGAAATTGGTCAGATAGGTTGTTAAGATGATTTTTATTTCAAGTTAGTCACATATGATAAAACTGACATGAAGAATTATTTTAATATGCCCTTGACCTTCAATTGAACTTTATTGTCAAGATTTGCTTTCATTGTCAAACCTTGGTAATTTATTTATGGATTAACTACTTATGACAAATTTGACATGATGATTAATTCAATTGGGACCTTAACCTTTTATTTGACCATCAAGTTTTCTATACTACAACATTTTTCTTCTGATGTGTTTGACTTTAGAATTAAAAAAAGTCGAGGATGGCCCCGCTTGGCAGTGGCTCATGTTTCTTAATACTTGGTCTGGATACAACAACTCTGGACCAGATCTTCAATTAGACCTGACTAAACTTTACCTTGACCTTCAGGGTCAAATTTTTAAATTAGGCTTGATTTTTGCTATATGAATAAATATGACAATGACTAACTGTCAAGGTCAAATATCGAATTCTAATTATAGCAAGAAAATGATGTTTTCTGTGGTAATTCTTTATTGCAATATTTCTCCTTCAATATATTTTAAAAAAGTTGAGCGTGGCACCCGCTTGTTGGTGGCTCTTGTGTAAATCAAATTTAATTAAAGTTTAATAAAAAAAAAAGTCTGCCATAAGTGTAAGAACTGAAAAAGCTGCCAAATATTTTTGATTTTTGAAATCTATGCATGATGCGTCCTTTGGGTGGCGAAAAAATCCATATGTATATGTCCTTGTTAATTTGCCTTTAATAACACTTCGGAAATGGGGATGGTTAGAGTAAGTAGAAGTGATGTCAAAAACCCTCTTTTTTAAAATTTACGTTTCATTTAATCGACAATAGCAGGCTGAATTTCATATTCTAAGATAAAAAATCTGCCGAAACTGTACGTAATACTTATCACCCCAATAGTCATCATCACAGTGTAAAACATTCTGCACAGACACATCGTCTCCTGTGAAAAAAAACCATACATGTGTTGTGCGAATTCATGAAGCACAAACAGTAGCGTCATGTTTTCAAGGATATAAAATTTTCAACAATCTGTTTATTTTTTAGCACTTTCCATCAATTTTATTAGGAATGATAAAATTGAAAAATAAGAAACATAACTGAAAATATTTTTCTTAAATTGATGTTTAGGACAGATCGGTTCTGAAAAATTCTTTCTTTGATTTAATTAGATCTAATTAATTAAATGAATTTTATTTTTCAAACAACACTACCGTGAAATTTTATAGGATGATTTAATAAACTGACTCATAGCCTTCTTTAGAAACAGAATAGTTGTTTGTGCTCCAGTACCATGCCTACCATTTATACCGCGCCCAGTCAGTCTGACAATTGCAGTGCCAGTAACAACGACTGCAACCCAGTATTTGACAGTACGCTGGTTGTAATTAGATAAATACCACTGACAGGTGCACTTTATTTTGATTGTAAGATGGCCAGAAACTAGCAAGACTTACTTAGTAAAAATAAATAGTAATGTAATTTCACATCATGTTTTATCTCTTGCAACTAGTTAGTCAATCTGTCCGTCTTTGTTTCTGTCTGTTAAGAAATCTGGATCCCGAATTCTCTGACAATGCATGATAACAATTAAAATATATATGCGCATTTTGCAGTGTTTGCAATGTGGATATACATGTATAATGTAAGTGCTGTTGAATGTTGGGATTGAGGAATTTTACCGGTCATAATGTGAAGATATTCACGCCAAAATCGTCTTGTCATTATTTTCGCATATTAATCTACTGAAATTAATAAAAAAGGTAATATAGGCATTTAAAAAAAAATATACTAGGACGAAAAAGAAACGCCGGGTAACCTATAATGATTGTTTTAAGGGATAAATTGTATTATTGGATTATTATATTCATTTTTGTATGAAATGTCATCTGTATGGAACCAGCTGTTGAAGTTTCAATCGATTTCCGATGCTGATTATGTGAAAAAATACCCCTTGTAACGATGACCCTTCTTGTTTTGCGAAACACGGCCGGACATATCAGTATCTTGTGTGTCCTCCATGCGCAGCTGTGGCAGCCCTGATTCGTCTATGCATGGAATTCACCAGGGTGTTAATCATGGCCATGGGATGTTATTCCATTCTTCATGCAAGGCATGTGTGAGCTGGACATGATTAGTGGGGGCATTTGGACGTCTCCTTACCCTCCTATCCAGTTCGTCCCACAAATGTTCAATTGGGGACAAATTTGGACTGAATGCTGGCCAATCGAGTGGGTGTATGTTACTGTTGGCAAGAAATTGCTGGCAAACTCTGGCGACATGGGGCATTATATAAATCTGACCGATTTTCATTATTTTAGGCCAAGCAATAAAATATGTGTTGCATATTTTATGTACCCGGCGTTTCTTTTTCGTCCTAGTATATAATGCTCTTGATGACAAAAACAAACTACTTTAATAATGAGACTTAAAATCTTGTCTTACGTCCCAGATTGATATAACTACGTGTATCAGAATATGAACAATGTTTTGTTCATTATATTAATTGAATAACATTTGTTTAAGATATTTTTTTTCAAGGCAATGAAATAAAAAATTTGACCTAAACGGGCTAAATAAGATCTCGGTTAATGATAAGCCATTTTAGAAAGAGCAGCTGAACTCATTATCATAGGCTACATGCATTAGTTCATTCGTAACATTTAATGTGTCCGTCATTTAATTGACCCCGCCCCTCGATCCCCACTTCCCACAGAAATTCATAGCAAAACAAAACAATCAACCACAAAACGCTGAGGTATGTTAACTAATGTAAATAGAATGTGATGAGGAAAATTCATTCTCAATGTTTGACATTTAAGTGCTGTCCGAGCGTTGCACGCGCACGTGCATGCATGGATGCACAGAATTGCGTTATTTTCCAACATAAAGTAATATTTTCATAATAACACATAGAGTAAACATTCCTCAAATCCCGTGACTTTTAATATCTGAATTACAGTTTCTTGGGGTCAGACACTTTCCCTCGGCACGAACCGCACGTGTCATTTGTTAAAACATTTTTATACATAAGACCTATACTGTAACCAAAATGGGGGCAGTTAAACTTGTTTTTTAAATAATTTCCACAAGAATCAAATAAAGTTTTTTATTATTATTGGACAAATCAAGCCAAAGACATGGTGTGAGAGCGAATCTTCACACAAGATAGGCGAGTTATTTAAGAGCGAATAATGAATGGTGCGAAGCGTTGTTTGACCGAAATCCGAGATATCATCCAGGTAGGTGCAAATAAACATCAAATTATGAAAATGTGAAAGAGATTGTCAATTAATTGTTAAGTTAAAATTATTTATCTTTTATACATAATTCAAAGAATGCTTGTTAATGTATTTAGTTTCCGTGAGAAATTTCATACGGTAGTCAAAATTTGACAAACATGCGATATATTCGGAGAGAGACCCTTCGGATAAGATGGGCCGGATAACCGCGATAAGATAATTATAGATATGACGTTCTTTTAGAACAAAGTTTACCTGCTTCTTAAAACACCAACTGGTGATTCATTAACATGTAACAGGTCTATTGACAGGTTTTATTCTAAATTTGTTTATTTCTGAGTGATTGTGACTGGAAAAGAGTCAACTCGGCCCTTTACCAACTCGGCACGGGTCAACTCGGCCCACTTTACAAAAATATATATAACGTATTAACTTTGCTTTGCATGTTGTTAAGGTAAATGAATAATAAGAAATATCTTATTATTATATAATTATACATTGTACTTCTTCTGAAATATTTAGTATATTTAGAAAAAAATGTTATTTACCGTATCTGTCTTGTAGATTCGATAAAATTAATATAGATCTAGATTCTAATAAAATGTGTTTGTAAAGTAATATTTAAAAAAAATGAAACGAAAACGTGTTTACTTAAAATCATAAGCTTCTAATTAAATCTTCCGTATATAAGCGCATTGATTGTTGCCGAAATTCATTTGCATGTGTCATACCTTTTTTTTTTCTTCTATCAAATAGAAAGACCTTGTCTGTGTATTATCTAGTTAAAGTAATAAAGAACAGAACAGAAGTTAAATATGTAGAAATACAGTGAGATACGCAATCGTTTATCTTTACTCGCAATTCTACTGATAAGAAAAGCTTGTCTGCTGCTAGTTCAAAAACTGTCAATCCGTGTATTATAAATAATTACAATAATTACAATAAATAGTGTTAACACAAACCTAAGTATTAATAATTGAAAAGTGGGCCAAGTTGACCCGTGCCGAGTTGGAATAGGGCCGAGCTGACTCGGGGGCCGAGTACGTTTTAGGGCCGAGCTGACCCGGATTCATTGTGACTATGTTAAAATGTAACTTTTGAAGTTTTGTAGAAATAATCTGATAATTGATACAGTAACGATTGTTAAGCACTATCATATTATGATGTAAATGAATTTTTGTTGTTATTTTAATTATCAGGCTAAGTAAGATAAAATAATCTTTATTTACAATTGGTTACAATAAAACATAATAACACTAGCTATATAAGCTATTTTCCGACATGACAGACTATCCTTTAACATGCAAACAAACATCCTGTATAAAAATCATAAAGAGTAAGATTAAGAGGATCAATGTTCATCAATGATAGAAGATGTAAACTGAATTAAGATTTATAATCACGTATCATTATGGATAAAAATGATAATTGATTACACACAAGTATCACTACAAGCAAATATCACAGTATAGTACAACATACTAGAATTTCACATAACCTAATAATTAGAATTAAAACAAAATGAAAAGATAAAATGACAAGTTCTTGTTTGGTTTCTCTCGGAATAACAATAAAGGATGACTCAGATCAATTAGCTGCTGATGCCCTGACTAACTTCCAGAGAAGTGGCTTAGCAAAGTAGGCAGGGACAAAGAGGAAGAATATAAGGCGTATGAACCCCTAGTAGGCAGTGACAGCTTGAAAGGCAGGCCCTTTGCTTTGCACCAACAGTCCTTATCAGGGCTACTTCTTTCATTATTGTCTCAGGTTATTGACTGTTCAGGTGCTCATTGCCTGCTGTGCAGTGAAATTCATGTCTGGTTAATACTCTGCGACTGGTGACATGTCCCAACATAGTCTACATACATATTTGTAGTATATTACTGTATAAAACAAAGACATAAGGATCTATTCAAGGAGAATGTCTTGAGAATTATTCTTATCTGGGAATACCTATTTATAAGTTATAATTCAAGAAACATTTTTTTTTTCAGTGTTTTCCCAAAATCTAGTCATGAACTTTTTGACATTAGAGTATTTAAATAATTATACTTCCTTGGTAAAGTAAAATGAACACTATAAAACAGTCAATAGGTTTTCACACGGCTCCAATATTTACTTTGTTACAGATTTAAGGCAAAACAACATGGCTGCAAGAGGGCGAAGACAATTCAAGCCACAGCCTGGTTTCCAGGCTCAACAAGATCAAAAAGAAGGGGTGCATGCCAGTATATTGAAACAAGCCAGGAAGTCAGGCCAGCTGAATCTATCTGGGAGAAGTCTTACATCCAGTAAGTACATAGTGGATGTTATAGTCATTATGATATAATGCCAGGTTTAAATAAGACTTTTATGTCTACTCTCAGGTCTACTCCTTAAGACTGTCACCAGTACGAGAGTTTCACAAATTATGTAGTCTTTATTGTGAATTTTAGATTTATTAAAGCTATGTATCAAATGAAAAAGAAATAATACATTTACAAGAAGTAAGTTACATGCTGAAATTATGTGTTTTATTTTGTTCAAATAAAACAAAGCAATCTTTGAATTTTACTATTACAATTGTGATAAAAACTTATTTTTTGCAATTTCAAAAACTTCATCTTATCTTAAAATTAATGCATATTAGTTGAATTGACATTTCATTTTAAATTAATTTCTTAATTGAATGGGCCACCAATAGTGATTGGAGTTATTGTTAAGTTTCATATTAGGGAAGTACTTGTGTGATTTTCGTTTCTGGGTATACATGACTTGTATAAGGTGAAGTATCATATAAATGTTGAGTTAAATATAAATATGATTTAGAATTATAGAAATCTTAATTGTTAAGACATTTTATAAGATTACCTGACTAGATTTAAAGATTAACATTTTATTGAATATAAAAAGGAAACAAAATAGGTGTGAAATATTATGCTATCATAATTATCATTATTTCAGTACCTGATAAAGTATGGCGTATCAATATAGATGTTCCAGAGGAAGGAAAGACAGTTTCGATGGATGATGCTGATGATAGATGGTGGGAACAGACTGACCTTACCAAACTTATTCTTGCATCTAATTGGCTCACAGAGCTGTCTGAAGACATAGTCAATCTTCCAGCTTTAACTGTACTAGATGTAAGTTTTATTTCAAGCTTTATATGATATGACTTCAAATCGTTTGCCCCTCACCACAGTGTGCTCAAATCCTGCTAGGGACTTTAGGTCAGTGGTTCTTCTTCATGCCCACCTGTGGTCTTTCTCCGCTTGGAAAGTTGAAAATGGCCATATAACCTTGGTTGATGTGACTAAATCAAACATTAAATGAGCCTTGTCACGACAAAACCAACATAGTGCATTTGCGACCAGCATGGATCCAGACCAGCCTGCCCATCCGCCAGTCTGATCAGGATCCATGCTGTTCGCTATCAGTTTCTCTACTTGTAATAGAGTTGGTTAGCGAACAGCATGGATTCTGATCAGACTGCGCGGATGCGCTGGCTGGTCTGGATCCATGCTGGTCGCAAACGCACTATGTTGGTTTTGTCATGATGCGGCTCAAATAATACACGTAAATGTGATTCATTGCACATTTGCAGAAGTTATGATGCAATTTTAGAGGCAGGTGACTGGTGTCACTTTTAACTTTGTAAAATCTTTAAATATTCTAATACTAACATGTTCATTTATTGTAATTCTTTTGTGGTTAATATTAATTACTAAGTATTCATATTTATAACATTATTTTTAACATCTTTTACTTGCTCAGCTATTAGTTTATAATTATATTGTTTTGCTAATGTCGGTCAGTCTGTCTGTCAATCGGTAAACCACATGGTTTCTGCTGATTATCTTTAAACCTATTTATCATATTTCACATACTGATTGGTCATAACTAGTAGATGACCAATATTGATTTTGGGGTCACACAGTCAAAGTCACAGGGGTCTTAAATGTCAGAATGGTTTCTGCTCATTATCTTGAAAACTATATATCAATATGTCTTCATATTTCACTTACTGATTGGTCATAATTAGTTGATGACCCCTATTGATTTTGGGGTCACTAGGTCAAAGGTCAAGGTCACAGGGGCCTTAAATGTCAGAATGGTTTCTGCTCATTTTCTAGAAAACTTTTTATTACAAAGTCTTTATATTTCTTTTATAACCTCTTTTCTACTTTGAATATTATACTGTCCAGCACTAAGAAAAATGGAGTGCCCTACTCCTTGGACAGCTCTTGTACTATTTCATATTAAGTTGTGAAATTATTCAAACATTGATATTTTAAAAAGGTACATGATAATAGACTGGAGAGTTTACCGAAGGCAGTTGGAACATTACAAAATCTACAGAAGCTTGATGTAAGGTAAGATATAGCCTATTACTTATAATTATATATATCCCTGTTTCTCGTATTATCGTGGTTTCTTGTATTATCGTGGAATTATCTTTCTTCCGTTATATTTTTTTAAAAAGGTATTTTTCTTGGTATCGGGATAAAAAATACTGAACCAAAATGTTTTATAAAAATTATCCAACCAAGTTTAATCCATAGCCCCACGATAATACGAGAAAACAGGATAATTTTCAAGAATTTCATTTTGTAAATGATGCATGTTAATTTACCTCTTTGATTATTTGTGTAAAATAAGATTTTTAGCTTACTAATTGAAGAATTATAGGGCTATTCTGCCTGCCCTGGAGAGAAAAAAAATCCTGCATTACCCATTATATGTTTCATCCAATATTGTTATCTTCAATGATATTTCATACACAATTCATAAGTTTTTGCTTTGAATTAAACATGATACTACAAATGTACTTGATTCATCACCGTGTCTTGAGAAGTACATTTCTTTTATCATTTCAGTCGGAACAAATTAACTGAGCTCCCAGAATGTGTTGGTCAAATTAAGAGCTTGAAGAGCTTACATGTTGAGTATAACAAGTTGAGACAAATGCCAGCAGACATTGGGGACCTCTTATTTCTGGAGGACCTGGTAAAAAATATTATTATATGTAAAGTTGACCAGTTTGAGCCTGAAACAATGCATGCTTTAGCTTTTCTTCATCCACTAAGAGTTGGCAAATCACCATACTGACAAAAATTAAAACAATTTTTTTTTCAGCAATAATCCTTAAATGACTCAGTAAATTCTACTGAAGTAGATGTAGAACAAAAAGACTTACTGTGAATAGACCATCAATTGTGGTGTTGTCATATTTTTCAATACTCTATTGCTAAAAGTATTAAATCCGAACTGTATCTAGACGGTTGTATCAAAATACACTATGAAACACACCAGCAGGACTTAATTTACCAAAAATGGTTTGCTTCATAAGAGTTTGTAATGTGTTACATAAGTAAACATCTGTATGTTAGCAAATCAAACTTTCCGTGAAATGTAATTACAACTGTTACTTATATTTTAGGACATGTCAAACAATGAGTTAACAAGTTTACCAGGCAGCATGGGAGGTCTTAGCAAGATTATAAAACTAAATGTATCCAATAACAAACTAAAATCATTACCCGGAGAACTTGCCACCATGAATGGTATGTACAATATGATAAAATCTAGAGAAGATGTTTTTTTTATTGTTTTTTTTTTAAATCAAATTATTTACTAAAATTTGTAAAATACATGTATATTTAACAATAAAAGCTATAATTATTATTCGGGTTATCATATTCACCCTGTCTGTTTTTTTATGCCACAAATAATGCATGGAAGGGCATCTGAGGTGTTTCTCAACCTACTAGAATTTATTTATAGGGCTTATATTTGCTGTATTCTCTTATTCTAAGAATCATTGAATTCAAAAACTGCACTTTTTCTTGTGTAAAATCCAGAGGTAATAACTAAGCAAATGTGGGTTTTTCCAAGGTTATACCCTGGTACAAACCTGTTGCGCTTATTTTAGAAGCTTTAACTGTAAAAATTTGTAAATCAATGTTAATTTCAGCATTACGACAGATTGATGCCAATCATAATGAAATCAGCAGTTTACCCCCAGAGTTAGGAACATTATTACATCTAGAACAACTTTACCTAAGACATAACAAACTAACACATTTGCCTGTACTCAAAGACTGTTCATCTCTGAAAGTAAGAAATTCGAGGGTTCATTTAATTTATTGATAAATTGTTTGATTAGTTTTTTTCTGAGATATATCTTTTAATAAATATTTGGCACTTTGATTTGATAAAACACAGCTATATGAAGATGGTAAATATCAACTACAGTTAGAACTCTGTATAAATTCTTTAATCATTTTTGTTTTCCGTACCTTTTATTTGATTTATTTGAGTATTTTATTATACCTTTTTGATATTGAAAACTTGTTGAAAACATAAACTATTAAAGAAGATAAGATAAATTTGAATATTTTTTTTTATTTCAGGAATTACATCTAGGTAATAATCAAATGACTGACATAACAGCAGAACACATACAACATCTTCCAGCAATATCTGTCCTTGACCTTCGTGATAATAAGATAGGCATGCTTCCAGACGAAATAGCTCAACTTCAGTCTCTAGAGAGGCTTGATGTTACGAACAATGATCTAGCTGGGTAAAATATGATTCATCATTTTGTGTTGATTTTCTGTAATTTTTTTTGGTAAGCAACAGCAAAGTCATTCATTTTGTCGATACATTTAAGATATGTAACTAGACTTTACTAAATATAGCAAGCCTGGATATTTCTTCTAGCACCTTCATTAATTGATTGTTATCTTCCATATTGGGTATGAAAATACCCTAATTAGTCCTCTAACTTTTAGTGGAGTTTTGGATAATAGGGCCAAGGTCAGGGACACATGTGCTAAAAATAGTTTTTTTTTACACTTTTTCTCTTACAACCTTTCTTTCTAGACTGATATCTTTTATATTAAATTGGAATATACTTTTAGTGATCCTCTGCTTTAAGGTTCGAGCAAAGGATCACTGTGGTCAAATTTGCAGGTGCTAAAATTAGATTTTTGGCAGTTTGGTTACTGAAAAGAATCAGGGCTTGAGGCATATCTGTTTACTAATTAGTTATGACAATGAGATATTTATAAAAGTAATGATGTATGAAAATGAGATATGAAAGTAGGTATGTTAAACAATGAGGTATAAAATTATTTGTTTATGACAATGAGATATAAAAGTAATTGTGTATGACAATGAGATATAAAAATAATTGTGTATGACATTGAGATATAAAAGTAATTGTGTATGACATTGAGATATAAAAGTAATTGTGTATGACAATGAGATATAAAAGTAATTGTGTATGACAATGAGATATAAAAGTAATTGTGTATGACAATGAGTTCATAAAGTAATTGTGTATGACAATGAGATATATTATGTTTATTGTAGGCTTCCTTATCATCTTGGTACAGTGGCATCCTTGAAGTCTATTGTTGTTGATGGTAATCCAATGAGGTCAATTAGGAGAGATATAATCATGGTAAATGATACAGAATATCTTTGTTGACACATTCTTATGAAATGTACAAGATCAAATTTCATCAGATGCACTGTTGGTAGGATGATATTGCTTTATAAGTGAAGTTGGTGCAAAATATTTTAACATGTTTACATAGATTGAGAGTATAAAGCAGGGGGATAGCTAGGCTTTTGAAAAGCAATTTTAGCACTAAGTGCCTAGGGGAAACAAATAGGAGGGGATGACCCCTTGGAAAACAAGCCACCTTCTGATTCTTATTTAAAGGGAAATACTACAAATACATCTATTAAAATAAAGAGGGAATATATTACAAATTTAAGAAAAACGTCCATTTCCATCACTCCAGAGGTCATATCAGATTGTGATGAGTTCATATATCTGAACTGAACTATGATGGTTTTTCATTTGGTGGGGAGGGGGGTTTAGTATATACAATAAAGTTTGTACTTTATTATAATTTTGTAAAGTGAGGAACATCTCAAAAATATAAAAAGAAGAATTGTATTATTCTAGAGAGGCACACAGGAAATAAAGAAATATTTACGAAGTAGAATAGAGGAACCATTAGACATGCCAGCTGCATCAACCAATGGTGTTCAAAGCAATAAAGGTCAATCAGGGGTCATTGGGGGCACTAGTGATGGAGTCAATGCTCATGATGTTATGCAAATGAAGAGTCTTGATTACAGGTATGTGGGAGAAAAATCTTTTAAATAAAAGCAATTATAAAGTATTAATTCAGGTTTTTTTTAAAAGTAATTCTGTTATAGGCATAGATCGCATATTCCTAGTAGTCTTCAACCCTGAACCGGCTGAAACCTTTTAATTGGACTTTTCCAGCTTCCATTTTTAGAAGAGTTCATTATGGTTTCTAGGGATTTTAGAATGAAAAGTATATCTTGGTCAGACAACATTATAGAGCCTGGTCAGTCAGCACAGAAATGCAGGCCAGCCTGGCTCTATACTGGTGGCAAAGGTTAATATTTTGGGTTCCAGCAAGGTTAAATTTACAAAGCTACTTACCTTGATTTGAGTATGATTATAAATAATTACTGTGTTGTTTACTTTTAGTAATAAGAAGTGTAATCAGGTACCAGATGAAGTATGGAAACTAGCTGAAAGAGGGGAAATAACTTCAATAAACCTTAGCAAGAACTGCTTTACAGACTTACCACAAGGGTATAGCTATGATACTTTTGATTTTAGCCTATTTAAGTAAAATGATGCCCATTCTCAGTAGTGTTACTAAATGTTTATATAATGGTTCACAGTTTTTGAAAATATAGCCTTGGAAAGTTAGTTGAATGCATTCTTTTTGACCATTTGAATAAGCTATTGATGTTTACATTAAAAAAAATTAAGGTCTCTTCTAATTTGTATATAATTGTTAAAAAGCTTGATATAGACTAGATGATTCTTAACCCTTTCACTGCCATAGGGACGGCTTAAGCCGTCGCTGTTATTTTCGGCGTATTTGCCATAAGGACGGCTTTAGCCGTTTCTATAATAATCGTAATAATAATAATAAATTAATAATAATAATAAAGATAATAATAAATATAAAGAAAATTATACCATCGACAATAATTATTATTATACTAGCATATTTGGAAACATATATAATTATTTTGTACTAATAACAAATAATGATAATAATTATATTAATTAATAATATAGTTATTTCTTAGAAAACCTTCTGGCAAATAGGTGATCAATAAAACAATAACCCTCTGGCAGCGAAAGGGTTAAAGTGATTCTTTTTTCTTTAATTGGTTCTTATTTTGGATATGTGATATCTAGGGTATTATATTCATGTAGCTTCATTACTAAATTAATTGATTTTAATGAATGAAATAATATTATGCAGGCCTTCATAATATAATGTCATTCAACTTGTTCAATAAATTCAGTATTGAACCTACATTCATTCAATATCCTCTATTACCTTAACATTTTTGATGAATATAAGCATGTTTATGATTATATGACATATTTTATATAAGTATATTTGATGTAATTTCAGGATCATGTTAGTATCAGATTATCTAAAGGAGCTCAACCTGGGATTCAACAAGCTCACCTCTCTACATTCAGATATTGGATTGTACTTTAAACTGACAACTGTAGATTTGAGGTAATTCTAGAATACCCAGATAGGTGTAAACTTTAGGATTTTTTTGTTGAAAATAGTAGCTTTCCAGAATCCAAGATTCAGTTTCAGTATGTAAAGATTTTATATTTTGTATGTAAAAAGACACAGTTTAATTTGTAACAAGATTCTGTTTTTAGCTCACCTGTCACAAAGTGACAGGGTGAGCTTTTGTGATCTCTTTTCGTCCGGCGTCCGTCCGGCGTCCGTCCGGCGTCCGTCCGTCCGTAAACTTTTACTTTAAATGACATCTCCTCATAAACCACTAAGCCAATTTCATCCAAACTTCACAGGAATGTTCCTTTGGTGGTCACCTTTAAAAATTGTTCAAATAATTTAATTCCATGCAGAACTCTGGTTGCCGTGGCAACCGAAAGAAAAAACTTTAAATATCTTCTTTTAAAAAACCATAAGAGCTAGAGCTTAGATATTTGGCATGAAACATCTTCTAGTGAGTGTCTACCAAGTTTGTTCAAATAAAAGCCCTGGGGTCAAAAATTGGCCCCGCCCCGGGGGGTCATTGATTTTCCTTATATGCATGTAGTAAAAACTTAAAAAATCTTCTTTTAAAGAACCCAAAGCTATGGCTAAGATATTTAGCATGAAACATGTTCTAATAGGTGTCTACCAAGTTTGTTCAAATAAAAGCCCTGGGGTCAAAATTGACCCCGCCCCAGGGGGTCATTGATTTTCCCTATATGCATATAGTAAAAACTTAAAAAAATTTTGTTTTAAAGAACCAAAAGAGTTAGAGCTAAGATATTTAGCATGAAACATGTTCTAAAAAGTGTCTACCAAGTTTGTTCAAATAAAAGCCCAGGGGTCAAAATTGGCCCCGCCCCGGGGGGTCGTTGATTTTCCCTATAAGCATATAGTAAAAACTTAAAAAATCTTCTTTTAAATAACTCAAAGAGTTATGGCTAAGATATTGAGCTTCAAACATGTTCTTATAGGTGTCTACCAAGTTTGTTCAAATAAAAGCCCTGGGGTCAAAATTGGCCCCGCCCCAGGGGGTCATTGATTTTCCCTATATGCATATAGTAAAAACTTAAAAAATCTTCTTTTAAAGAACCAAAAGAGTTACAGCTAAGATATTTAGCATGAAACATCTTCTAGTGAGTGTCTACCAAGTTTGTTCAAATAAAAAGCCCTGGGGTCAAAATTGGCCCCGCCCCGGGGGGTCATTGATTTCCCTATATGCCATATAGTAAAAACTTAAAAAATCTTTTCTTTTAAAGAACTCAAAAGAGCTATGGCTAAGATATTGAGCATTCAAACATGTTCTAATAGGTGTCTACCAAGTTTGTTCAAATAAAAGGACCTGGGTGTCAAAATTGGCCCCGCCCCAGGGGGGTCATTGATTTTCCCTATATGCATATAGTAAAAACTTAAAAAAAATTTGTTTTAAAGAACCCAAAAGAGTTAGAGCTAAGATATTTAGCATGAAAACATGTTCTAAAAAGTGTCTACCAAGTTTTGTTCAAATAAAAGCCCTGGGGTCAAAACTGGCCCCCGCCCCGGAGGGGTCGTTGATTTTCCCTATATGATATAGTAAAAACTTAAAAAAATCTTCTTTTAAAATAACTCAAAGAGTTTATGGCTAAGATATTGAGCATCAAAACATGTTCTTATAGGTGTCTACCAAGTTTGTTCAAATAAAAGCCCTGGGTCAAAATTGGCCCCGCCCCAGGGGGTCATTGGTATCCCTATATGCATATAGTAAAAACTTAAAAAATCTTCTTTTAAAGAACCAAAAGAGTTACAGCTAAGATATTTAGCATGAAACATGTTCTAGTGAGTGTCTACCAAGTTTGTTCAAATAAAAGCCCTGGGGTCAAAATTTGGCATCGCCCCGGGGGGTCATTGATTTTCCCTATATGCATAATTAGTAAAAACTTAAAAAATCTTCTTTTAAATAACTCAAAGAGCTATGGCTAAGATATTTAGCATCAAACATGTTCTAATAGGTGTATACCAAGTTTGTTCAAATAAAAGCCCAGGGGTCAAAATTGGCACCGCCCCGGGGGTCATTGATTTTCCTTATATGTGTATAGCAAAAACTTAAAAAATCTTCTTTGAAAAAACCCAAATAGCTAGAGTTAAGATATTAAGCATGAAACATCTTTTAGTGAGTGTCTACAAAGTTTGTTCAAATAAAAGACCTGGGGTCAAAATTGGCCCCGGGGGGGGGGGGGTCATTGATTTTCTTTATATGTGTAAAGCAAAAACTTAAAATCTTCTTTGAAAAAAACCCAAATAGCTAGAGTTTTAGATATTAAGCATGAAACATCTTCTAGTAAGTGTCTACAAAGTTTGTTCAAATAAAAAGCCCTCGGGTCAAAACTGGCCAGGCCCCAGGGGTGTCATTGTTTTTAACTATATGTGTTTAGTAAAAACTTAAAAAAAAAATTTCTTTCTTTTAAAAAGCCCAATGGGCTAGAGCTTAGATGTTTAGCATGAAAAACATCTTCTTTTGGGTGTCTACCAAGTTTGTGCAAATAAAAGCCCTTGGGTTAAATTGGCCTGCAACGTTGGGGGGGGGGGGGTTTGGGGGGGGGGGGCCTATATACAGGTGAGCGACCTCAGGGCCATCATTGCCCTTTTGTTTTTATATTTGTAACAATATTTTGTTTCTTTGTTATTTATAATGTGTGGTCATGATCTATACACAGAAATAACCAGCTGACTGATCTGCCTAGTGAGATGTCCTCACTCGAAAGAACTTAGAGAAGGTTATCCTTTCAATTTTAAATAGGTATGTAATGAGATCAATATAATTTATATGGAACATTTTGTGTTAAATCAGTCTGTTTATTCAGTGTTTTTTTGTTTACTTGTTTGTTTTGTTAGCTAGTTTGATAGCTTCCTCACATTGAAAGAATCCAAAGTCCCTGGTGGAATTCAAATCAACAACAGTGTGAGGGGCAGGTGGTTTAAAGTGAGACAGAATGAAACTATAAAACATACCTTTTGTAGGTTACAAGTATCAATTACAATATCTGTCAGAATAATTACTCCTTATGTTCTTCAATTAAATACATTTATGAAATCCAGAAATGTAAGAAACAGGCTAAATGTAAATTAATATTTAGCAATGGATACCAGGTGATCATAGCTGCCAACTTTGAAAAGAATCTTGTTTTTTACTAGTACATGTATGCCATGACACCTTGTATTGGTTTTGAATTCTTCCATTTGAAGAAGCTATTTAGAAAGGGAATACCTAAGTTTTTGATTATTTCAATAAAAGGTCTGCTCACATTACAAGAGGGAACATCGGGGGTTTTCTTATTGGACTCCCATGTGCAATATTTTAACAAAATTATTAAAAAAAGATTTTCAAAAAGATTGAAATGAAATTATTTCCCATTGGAACACTTTACTTGTTTTCCATCTATTTTGTTTTCAAATTTCAGGTTAACCAAACTTCCTGCTGTTCCTGTATACATTAAACCTAAGTTAGAGATCTTGTTTGCCAATTTGATAACAAAGATTGAGACTATTGGACCCACAAGGGATGAAACAACTCGCCTCATTGGCTACTCTTGATCTTCAAAACAACAACATAGGACAGGTTCCTCCAGAACTCGGTCTCTGTAAACAAATCAAGTACGTCCAACATCAATATACAGCTGTCTATAAAAAGCCCTTTAAGGTCTAGTTTTGTATAGTGTGAGGTTAAGTAGTAGCAGTATTTCAGGGCTTTTAATATTGACATATTAATAAGCTATTTATTTAGCTTACAGAATATCTGAGGTTATAGTAAAGTGCATGCTTGTTTTGTTTCTTAAAGCTTGGCTTTGTTTCCCTCCATCAGCAAAACTGTAAACATGCAAAATAAATTAAACAAATATGGCGTGAGTGTAAACCTTAACAGTTATTATTCACCTAAATATGACATTTTTCTTGGTTCATTTAAATTCTTGATTTTGAAGGAACTAAACGATTTAATGTCAATTACTTACATCAAAAAAAAGAAGAAGAAGAATATCTGGTTGATGATTATGAATTGTAGGTAAACTAGGTGTTTAACGACACATCTGGTATTATTTCAGATCACTTCAACTCAGTGGAAATGCATTTAGAATTCCGAGACCTGCAATCTTAGCCAAAGGAACAAATGCCACCCTGGAGTTTTTACGAAGTAGAATAGCTGAATAAATGTAGGTGGTAACCATGGTGACATCGTAAAGAAAGTGTGTCACTTGACAGCTAAAAATACATTGTGAAAATGTTATAACTGATGATTATAACTGATGAGAATGCATTTTTTCTGGTGGCAACAGAGTTAAACAGACCAATATCTTTTTAGATGATTTTTACACAAAATGAAAGTCTTGTAAGTGATGTAATATAAATAAAGAGTTTGACAAAGGTTGTTACTCCGGTAATTTGAATTATTTTGTCTCAATTATAGCACACTGTGGAAAATAAAAATGTTATAATAAAGAGTATCGCAAAAAGTTATATAGAATTATAAGATATGTTTGCAGTTCAAATATTTTGTTGATTATCTGTGATAAACTAAAGTGCTTATAGATTTATAAAATGTGTTTGTGTCTTAGATTTAAAATGACTTTTCTATAGTTTTATACAGTGAATTTGTTTACTTTTGTTTTCTTTATGTTCATTTCATGTGTTCCAGGTTAGCTAATATCACTGTGTTCTTTCTGATTGCTGTTTTCATCACTAGCTAATGTGTTCTTTGTGTTTATTACATTTTTGAAGAATAAATAATTTTTGAAATAGATTTATTTCGTTTTGTGCTATTATACTAGTTTGGTTTTAGAATGGAAAGAGTTGATTATGCAACAGCCTAGAGTGTTTAGCTCACCTGAGCACATCATTAGAAATCGTTTTCTCTGTAACTGCAGATACCTTGTGTGTAACATTAGTTTGTATAGTTGACCACTACCAAGTTTGCTCAAATCATGAACGTGCGGTCAAATTTAGCCAGGTCCAAATATCATACAGGGAAAACTTGGGAAAAAAATCAAAGAACATGATTTAGAGTCAAGATATTTGGTGTGTAGCATTTTCTAGCTGACCATTTCAGATCGGCAATCTTGTTTAAATATTTACATAGACATACATAGATGAATATAATCTTCCTGATATTACAAGCGTAGTTTAAGTTCTGCTATATAATCCCTAACCGCGAGGTTACCGGACTGATTACCGCAACCGTGTGGTCACGCGTTAAATTGTTTATATAATTGGCTGCAGGTTGTTAGTTAGGACTTTAGAACACAATTCTTTATATCCATGTCGTCCAAATGTACATAACGAATTGATAAGACTGCACCAATCGCTCCCTTTGAGTGAAAGAAAAGGATTAATAAATTTGCAGGAGCCGTGTTTATTAGTAATACATCGATCTTTTATATACCAGGTCAGTCACTGTAATTTTTTTGGAAAATTCATTGACATAATCTAACATTAATGATACATTTATATGGTTTATGTTCCAACATTATCTTTCAATTTTAATGATATTGATGGTCCAAACATGCTTTAACATTAGGTTAGTTAGTTGGAGATAAAATTATGATTGAAACTTATTTCTGCTGAATCAATTAAAGCAATAACGGTCTTGGTAGTTATATTATCAAAACATACATGTACATTTGACGTCGCACCTGCACGTGGAAAGCTAGTCGGGTTCCCAAGCATCTGTTGTAATGATATACAACGGGAAGGTAACCCAGACTAGTGCCAAGCATCGGAGAAGCAATGGTGTCTATATACAAAATACCAACGACGAAACTTGGGACGTATACTGTCATGCAAGAATAATCATGGACTTATTTAATCCTTTGCCCTGTGGCTCGCGCTTTAAAGATCCTGTATGTTGTGATTGAGGTTGGTGGTGGTGTTGGTAGTTTTCACTCCGGATCACGACCGTAAACCACATTAAATTTACCAGAGCACAGTTAAACCACCGCATCGTTCCTAGGCAGGCTGTCAAGCATAGATGCCCTCACTTTCGCAACGAACTGAAACTTCTGTACATGCCAGAGCAGAGCTACAGTGCGAATGACCGTAGAAAGGATTTCATGATCAACACAACGAAAATGACCTGCGCCGTCCGAGAATCGAACCTGTGTCGCCCGGTTCACAGTCCAACGCTCTACCTATTGAGCTAACCGGACGGCTTGGTTGCATACCACACTTAAATGAAATTATATATATGAATATTATTATGCTTATAAAACAATTTTCAAACATCGAAGAATATCTAAAATACTTGTACATATTATATGTAATCATTAAAATATATGCATTCATTTCTTTTTTTAAAAAAAATGACTGAGTCTTTATAGAAAATAATTTTTTTATTACATCCCTTTATTTACACGAAGTGTTTTAATTCGGTAATATCTTTATAAATAATGCTTTTTTGGATAGTACAAAATTGATAAATCTTAATTTGAGCATCATATTTATGATATAAAACCATAAAAAATTGTGTTACAGGATCTTTAAATGTGTCCTTGTACTTCTGTGCTTCTGCAACTGTAAATGTACGGACATGGATGCACTAATCCTCTTTGGTCAACCAATTAAAAATCAGAAATATCGTCAAAAGGTATACATGATTTGAATATTTTAATATTTTCTTTGGGTGCCCTATATGCGTTCTGTGTTATCAATCTAATAAGATTTTTTACGAATACTTTAACTGACTGACGGACGAACGGACGGAAGTAATGAAGGAAACAAAGACACAGAGACAGAATCAAACAAAGAAATTGGTTGGAGAGAAATATTCCGACAAAAATTGGCTAATCTATAAAAACCTTAAACCCTAATTGATCGAAAAGTAAAGAGAAAAAATAGGTCGAGACATGTGCATATCTATTACAATAGTATTATATTGTAACAATACATATCTACAAAAAACAAAAGCAAACAAAAAAAAACAAAAAAAAAAAAAACACAAAAATAACATTCACATATAAAAAAGGTGCATGTCTTTTCCTTAAAATGAATGATTTACACAATATTTATTTATTTTTTATACATTATTTCGCGTCTTTATAGTACAGAAATACATGATTAGTTTATTACATGGAATGTAAATAGACACTGTCGTTACGGTATACATAGAAAATGTAAAAATTGTTAGGAAACTTGGAATTTATGTATCTAAAGCTTTTGAAAAGCGAAACAATGTGTTGTACGGAAGTAATACGTAGATACAATTAATATTATTATTATTATTGAAATAATGTGTTGTACGGAAGTAATGCGTAGATACAATTATTATTATTATTATTATTTTTCTCTCTCTCTCCAACTCTCGATGCATTTTAAGATTACATCCTTATTAAATGTTAAGTATTATTACTTTAATGAAAATATTAAAGTTGAAATACTTATGAAATACTTACGATATCTCCTTAATATTGGTCTTGAATTTCGTATCGTCAAGACCAATAGCTCGATATGGAGGTCGTTTTAGACACAATGACTGAGATCGGTTTAATGTATTATTATTATTAGTTTATTACAGTCTCATCAATGTACACAGTTAAAATACATATAAAATACAATATAAATGCACATTGCCAATCTATAAGATTTACAAGAGACTAAAGGTTGACTTACTATTTACATATAAAATTCTAAAAATCTAAAATACCCTTGCTAATATAATTTATGAATACAGATATCATTATGATCTGGAACATTACATCCGATGACTTATATGTATCATATATAATATATGAATATATATATATCATATATATATATATATATTACATCCGTAAGACTTATATATATATATATATATATATATATATATATATATATATATATATATATGCGTGTGTGTGTGCGTGCGTGCGCGTGTGCGTGCGTGCGAGCGTGAATGCGTGTGTGTGTGTATGTTCTTATGTTTGTAATATTCATTTTCGAACTTCTCCAATTATTGATGTTTTAGGTACATTTTGCTTGTCATTGTTCGCCATTTATAACATGCTTGTAATGCCATCATGGGCATATTGCCTAATGGAATAAAAGAATAAACTACTAAACTACTACTACATTTTCATGTGGCATTGACTTTACTTTGATAACCGACTATCTATCAGATAGAACAATAATTACCTATTGTCAATGTAACAAAATGACTTTGGAACTGAACCAAGACGTTAAAGTTTATATGATTTTCATACTTTGTGACATTTACAGTTAAATATTTCGGACATTAAGTATTATAATATTTTTCGGAATAGAAACTAATAAAAATGGTTTGTTGTGTGTTTTGTACGGGTGAAGGATTTTTTTCCAAATGTGTCAGTATCGTGGTCAGTTTAACATTCTCATTCCATGTAAGTAAATCATATACCTATATATCTGTCCTTTTGTAAATAAATCGGTCAATCTTGTGAAATTAACATACAATAATTTATGTTTTTTCTTCTTTGATACTTTCTGTTTTCTTTAATATTTATAGAGTTATTCTATTATAGATACTTAATCTATGGGATATTCATTTTAACAAATTGATTTTATTTTGCTCAAGCTTAATCTTTAATTAAATTGCCATTTAATTCATACTAGTAGTACATAGTACTAGTAAGTTGACTCTGACTTGTGATCTCTGCTTTGAATTCAGTGAAACTTAAATAATACACATGTATTTCACAAAAGATTTCCTTTTACAAATACTAGCATTAGATTATAATAGTTGAATAAAGTGTTCCTCAGGTTATTCAGGTGAAGGTGTTTCTAATTGAAAATGCCGGTGCATATCTCTGCAATATACATGTGCGGCATGTATTGGTACAGGATGAATGAGTTATATACTTGATGTTAAATTACCCGTTCTTTTATAATGTGATAAACAAGAAACAGAAAAGAGCACAAAGAAAAAGAATCTGCTTTAAACTGGGGGGGGGGGGGGGGGCTACGCAACATCGTACTAAACAGATAGACTCGTGTTTCGATGCTCTTTCGATGCTTCGTTACTACACTGTAATTCTTTAATTTAATGGATTTTTTTATATTTATAACATGAGCCGCGCCATGACAAAACCAACGTAATGCGTTTGCGACCAGTATGGATCCAGACCTATAACATGTAGAGAAACTGATAGCGAACAGCATGGATCCTGATCAGACTGCGCGGATGCGCAGGCTGGTCTGGATCCATGCTGGTCGCAAACGAATTACGTTGGTTTTTTTCATGACGCGGCTCAATAATCTATATGTTGTTTATACATCCAGGTTTTTGGGTTCCTGAGCCCTTATTGGTTTTGTGATGGGGACGATTGTAAGCTGATGGGGTTGTACTTTCATTGTTATGACGGATCTTGTGATGGCGAAGGTAAGTCAGTGCTGGTTGCTAACCTGCTCAGTCGTGATAAACATAACAATATCAGCCAGATCACCGTTGGCTCCAGTATCCTTAGAAGACGTATTCTGATGTAATAAAGTTACTTCAATTTAAGGACTCCAAATAATTTCAAAACTTATAGGCCAATTAAGTCTAAAAATGCTATAATATTCATGTTTGGTGTCTTGTAACAATTTCCAAAACATACTCATTGGCCATTTACCTAAGTCATATCTTGCTTCATTTCATTTTTGCAATTTGGCATTTAGTACAGTTATAGAAAATAAGTATTACAGAAAATGAGTATTTTGTATGGAAGTCAAATTACCACTTTATGTACATTTAGCTACCTTTATCACAAATTATTTCATTTTCAACGCAATTTTCTTCTGATGATTAGCATCCCTTAATCACATATTTGTCATTTTTTACAGAAAGAAAAAAATTTCTGAGGCGATAAATATAAGGACCATATATCATCGGTGCAGTGTAGCAAGTCCCACAGTATCGAAATATTTTATCTTTAAGTATCATTTAGAGTTTGACCAGTTTTTATAAGTTCTAAAATTATAAGCATCTCTTAGCACGTAGGCTAATTATTCGCACCAAGTTAGGTATTAATCATACAATTTGCTTGCAAGTGATTTATTTATTTATTTTACCTCTTTGCATAATCATTTGTCTTTATTGTTTATTTTCATAACTGCAGTGTAACATTTCTTATCCTGCGAATGTTAATTACTCCTGTATAAAGTCAGTTATCGCTAAATATTATTATTGTTAATATTTGTTTATTTATATATTTGTCGTATTAAAAACTTTTTTTTCTGTTGTAGTGATGGACGACCCTATTCTTACACTGGTTGTGATAATACTTATTTCTAGCCTAACGTTGGCCTTGACATTGTGTTTTGTTCTAAATTGTACGAAATGCGAATGGAGGAAAATGTCACCAAAAATGTCGTTGTTTATTGGAGGCTGGTTCCTAATACAAGGTATTATGATCTAATAAGCATCCATGTGACTAAGAGCAAAAAGGTAATCATGTTATGTAAATGTTTTCAGAATGAAAAAAAGACTTTCGTTCTTATTTGATAGTATAGACCTACATAAAGAATTGATTGTATTCGCCGATATGTTTCTATATGTACCAATGTTCAAGAGTTTCTATAATGTCTTCATAGCTGTACTGCTTTTGTTCTTTTTTGATAACTGTTGTTTTGTGAATTGTAAAGGATCTTTTCATTTTACCTTGCAATTTATAGAAAATTTGTATATGTATTTGAGTTTATTTATACACGCCACCGGTTGCCCATATGGCCGAGTTCTCCAGAAGAGTATTGGCCATTTTGGATGATAGTGCAAGATACAGATGCAGAAAGATGACCCAATACCAGAAGCTTCTTCTGGTTCTTTAGCGTGCCAAGTGTTAAAGCACTCATACACGGAACCTCGATTTAAAAAGTCTCGTCCGAAAGACTGATTAGTAATTTTAGTTGGCCAGCCCGGGAATCGAACCCACAATGTCGAGATTGCAAGTCCCGCGCTCTAACCGATTGACCTATGCGGGCTGGCTTTATGGGAAAAAAATAAAACGTATCTTTTAACTAAGTGCAATATTTCAATAATACTTATTCGTTTTGTAATATCTGTTATTTTTTTTCAGAAATACTTACAACATCTGTGCTGATAGCTATTGCCGCCAAGTTTGACCGGATAGGTTGGTCAGCTTACGTGTTTACAGTGCCCGGGATAATCTTCCTGGGCTTTATGATGGTTGTATTGATATACATGTGGTGTTTTCCAACGAAAACTGTCAACCCAACTGATTTTCCTTAACTACTATTGTAGTATTTTGTATAAATTTCGTTTATTGTGGACTTGTATGAATTTTGCATAGCACTTTTAGTTGTTTTTGTGAAACATAATTACATTGTATTGTTAAAAGTTGAATGTTTATGTAAATTACTGCCTCAATATTCGGCCGGGAAGGACTCTCCATACAGAGAGAAAACAACAACAGAAACAACAATATACATTCATGTATTTCAGGAGCATTTTATTAGGATAAAGTACAGCACAGCGAAACTCTTTACAGTGCATTTTCCTTCTTCTGTAAATATATAAATCGTTACTAAATATATGTTAATGTAAATGTATTTAAATGTACTTATTAAAAAAAGTTGACTGCAGTATTTCAGTGCTACTATTTTCTTCAGTTTTTGATAGAAAGTCACCATCAGTACGCTAGTCAGGTTGTTTTTTTCACGAATGATCTTGAAAAATAAACATATTCATGTAAATATTTTGATGAGGTTTAAAGTATGATGACTTAGCAACCGTATGCGCTAATTCATTTCTTCCAATTTGGAGTACAATAGAAAATATTGGTCCATTTACTTATTGCGGTGCTCGTTTTAGCCACTAAATTGCACAATTCTGCGTTACTTTTGCACAATTCCTGCGTTATTTGCACATTCCCGCGTTACTGGATATACACGGTGAAAAAGCAAGTAGAAAATGCGTGAGTGTGAAAACGATGCTGCGATATAATATCATATTGCCCTGATAACTGTAAACTAATCGGTTAGTGCACGGTTACCAAAAAATGACGTCGGCTAATAATTAAGGTGGGGCATAAAATTTTATTTCGCAAAGTATAAAGTTATCCACTCCACAGAAAGGAAAATCCTATCTCAACACAATAATAACTTAATGGATTCAAACTTGTTTAGCAAGGATAACTCTACGTGAGATACCCATATTAACAGGACAAACCAAAGAGCAAATCAAACATTAAGGTTCCTACACAGTCAAATCCAAGTTACCTTAGTCTATAGCTTACCAGACAAACTGGAATATGGTTCCGACACATAAAAATAAGAAATGGATCAAATAGTAAATGTACAAAAAGTAGCAATCGCATTAATGTCAGACCTCATGCTCCACACTATAAATCTTCGTCGTGTATGAATAAATGTTCATCTGTAAAATTCAACATGGTCCCGCTGTTCTTGTCCAGGCCCAGAGGGCACTGGACTGTTTATTTAAACAAGAGGGCCATGATGGCCCTGAGGACGCTCACCTGTATATAGGCCCCCGGAGCGGGGCCAGTTTAAACCCCAGGGCTTTTATTTGAACAAACTTGGAAGACACCCATTAGAAGATGTTTCATGATGTTAAGTTTTTACTACACACATATAATAAAAAACAATGACCTCTGCCCCCAAGCAGGGCCAATTTTAACCCAAGGGCTTTTATTTGAACAAACTTGGTAGACACCCACAAGAAGATGTTTCATGCTAAACATCTAACCTCTAGCTCATTGGGTTTTTTAAAAGAAGATTTTATAAGTTTTTACTATACACATATAGTTAAAAACAATGACACCTCTGGGGCAGGGCCAGTTTTGATCGCAGGGCTTTTATTTGAACAAACTTTGTAGGCACTTGAAGATGTTTCATGCTTAATATCTAAACTCTACCTATTTGGGTTTTTTCAAAGAAGATTTTTAAGTTTTTGCTATACACATAAAAGGAAAATCAATGACCCCCGGGGCGGGGACAATTTTGACCCCAGGGCTTTTATTTGAACAAACTTTGTAGACACTCACTAGAAGATGTTTCATGCTTAATATCTTACCTCTAGCTATTTGGGTTTTTTCAAAGAAGATTTTTTAAGATTTTGCTATACACACATAAGGAAAATCAATGACCCCCTGGGGCGGGGCCAATTTTGACCCCAGGGCTTTTATTTGAACAAACTTTGTAGACACTTACTAGAAGATGTTTTATGCTAAATATCTAAGCTCTAGCTCTTTGGGTTCTTTAAAAAAAGAATTTAAGTTTTTACTATATGCATATAGGGAAAATCAATGACCCCTGGGGCGGGGCCAATTTTGACCCCACGGCTTTTATTTGGAGAATCTTGGTAGACACTCATTAGAAGATGTTTTATGCCAAATATCTAAGCTCTAGCTCTTTGGGGTTTTTAAAAGAAGATATTTAAAGTTTTTTCTTTCGGTTGCCATGGCAACCAGAGTTCTGCATGGAATTAAATTCTTTGAACAATTTTAAAGGTGACCACCAAAGGGACATTCCTGTGAAGTTTGGATGAAATTGGCTTAGTGGTTTATGAGGAGATGTCATTTAAAGTAAAAGTTTACGGACGGACGACGGACGGACGCCGGACGAAAAGCGATCACAAAAGATCACCCTGTCACTTTGTGACAGGTGAGCTAAAAACAAGACAGAAAGGCATATAAAACTTATATAAGTAAAAAAACATGACATAAAAGTGGACAGCAATTCGTCCACCATGACATAAAGTTGGTAGGTATGTATGATATAAATATTATATGGACCATTTTGTGTTAAATCAGTCTATTTATTCAGTGTTTTTTGTTTGTGTTTTTTTCTGGCTTTTATGTAAATTAATTTATTACTAAAATGGGATACTTGTTTACTTGTTTGTTTTGTAAGCCAGCTTGATAGCTTCCACTACCAAGTTTACTCAAATCATGAACTTGCGGTCAAATTTAGCCTGGTCCAGGATGTCCCTTCATTTTACGAACAAATCTCGTACAGGGAAAACTTAGAGTCGAAGATATTTGGTGTGTAGCATTTTCTAGTTGACCATTTCAGATCGGCAATCTTGTTTGAACATTTACATAGACATACATAGATGAATATAATCTTCCTGATATAACAGGCGTAGTTTAAGATGACGGGTGCTAGGATCGCGTGGTAACTGCTTTTGGTGTTTTTATACAATCGCTTACCGCGAGGTTACCGTACTGATTACCGTAACCGTGTGGTCGTCGCGGTAAAATTGTTTATACAATTGGCTGCAGGTTGTTAGTTTGGACTTTAGAACACACTTCTTTATATCCATGTCGTCTAAATGTACATAACGAATTCATAAGACTGCACCAATCGCTCCCTTTGAGTGAAAGAAAGGATTAATAAATTTGCAGGAGTCGTGTTTATTAGTAATACATCGATCTTTTATATACCAGGTCAGTCACTGTAATTATTTTGGAAAACTCATTGACATAACCTAACATTAATGATACATTTATATGGTTTATGTTCCAACATTTCTTTTCAATTTTAATGATATTGATGGTCCAAACATGCTTTAACATTAGGTTAGTTAGTAGGAGATAAAATTATGATTGAAACTTATTTCTGCAGAATCAATTAAAGCAATGACGGTCTTGGTAGTAATATTATCAAAACATACATGTACATTTGACGTCGCACCTGCACGTGGAAAGCTAGTCGGGTTCCCAAGCATCTGTTGTAATGATATACAACGGGAAGGTAACCCAGACTAGTGCCAAGCATCGGAGAAGCAATGGTGTCTATAAATACAAACGACGAAACGTGGGACGTATACTGTCATGCAAGAATAATCATGGATTTACTTAATCCTTCGCCCTGTGGGCTTGGGCTTTAAAGATCCTGTATGTTGTGATTGAGGTTGCATACCATGGTGGTGGTGTTGATAGTTTTCACTTCGGATCACGACAGTAAACCACATTAAATTTACCAGAGCACAGTTCAACCACCGCACCGTTCCTAGGCAGGCTGTCAAGCAGTTTACCAGTACTAGATGCCTTCACTTTCGCAACGAACTGAAACTTGTGTACATGCCAGAGCAGAGGTGCAGTGCGAATGACCGTTGAAACGATTTCATGATCAATCACAACGAAAGTGACCTGCGCCGTCCAAGAATCGAACCCGTGTCGCCCGATTCACAGTCCTGCGCTCTACCTATTGAGCTAACCGGACGGCTTGGCTGCATACCACACTTAAATGAAATTATATATATGTATATAATAATGCTTATAAAACAATTTTCAAACATCGAAGAAAATGTAAAATATGTACTGCAAATATTTGTACATATTATATGTAATCATTAAAATATATGCATTAATTTCTTTTTAAAAAAATTGACTTAGTCTTTATAGAAAATAATTTTTTTATTACATCCCTCTATTTACATGAAGTGTTAAATTCGGTAATATCTTTATAAATAATGCTTTTTGGAACTTACAAAATTGATAAATCTTAATTTGAGCATCATATTTATGATATAAAACCATTAAAAAATGTGTTACGGGATCTTTAAATGCGTCCTTGTACTTCTGTGCTTCTGCAACTGTAAATGTACGGACAAGGGTGCACTTATCCTCTATTGTCAACCAATTATAAATTAATCAGAAATATCAAAAATTGGCTAATCTATAAAACCTTAAACCCTAACTGACCGAAAAGTAAAGAAAAAATAGGTCGACACATGTGCATATCTATTACAATATAGTATTGTATAGTAACAATACATATCTACAACAAAAAAAAATAAATAAAAAATAATAATAACATACACTCCCAATAAAAAAGTTGCATGTTATCTTCTTAAGATTAATGATTTACATAACATTTATTTATTTTGTATACATGTATTTCCCGTCTTTATAGTACAGAAATACATGATTAGTTTATTACATGGAATGTAAATAGACACTGTCGTTACGGTATACATTTTCATGTGGCATTGACTTTACTTTGATAATCGACTACCTATCAGATAGAACAATAATTACCTATTGTCAATGTAACAAAATGACTTTGGAACTTAACCAAGACGTTTAAGTTTATAAATATGATTTCCATACTTTGTGACATTTACAGTTAAATATTTCGGACATTAAATGTTTTGTTTTTTTCGAAATAGAAACTAAAAATGGTTTGTTGTGTGTTCTGCGCGGGTGAAGGATTCTGTTCCAAATGTGTCAGTATCATGGTCAGTTTAACATTCTCATTCCATGTAAGTAAATCATACATATATCTGTCCTTTTGTAAATAAATCGGTCAATCTTGTGAAATTAACATCCAATATAATAATTTATGTGTTTTTATTTCTTTAATACATTCTTTTTTCTTTAATTTTATAGAGTTATTCTATTACTTTAATCTATGGAATATTTGTTTTAAACAAATTTATTTAATTTTGCTTAAGTTAAATCTTAAATTTAATTTAATTTACATTGTATATTAAATATTAAATTGCCATTTCATACTAGTAGTATATAGTACTAGTAAGTTGATTCTGACTTAATTGAGATATCTGCCTTGAATTCAGTGAAACTTAAATAATACACATGCATTTCACAGATGATTTCTTTTTACAAATACTAGCATTAGATTATAATAGTTGAATAAAGTGTTCCTCAGGTTATTCAGGTGAAGGTGTTTCTAATTGAAAATGCCGGTGCATATCTCTGCAATATACATGTGCGGCATGTATTGGTACAGGATGAATGAGTTATATGCTTGCGTGATAAACAAGAAACAGAAAAGATCACAAAGAAAAAGAATCTCCAAACAGTCGGCAATCTGCTTTATACTCGGGGGCTACGCTCCATCGTACTAAACAGATAGACTCAAGTTTCGATTCTCTTTCGATGCTTACTACATTGTAATTCTTTATTTTAATGAAATGTTTTATACATGTATTTATAATCTATATGTTGTTTATACATCCAGGCATTTGGGTTCCTGAGCCCTTATTGGTTTTGTGATGGGGACGATTGTAAGCTGATGGGGTTGTACTTTCATTGTTATGACGGAACTTGTGATGGCGAAGGTAAGTCAGTGCTGGTTGCTAACCTGTTCAGTGGAGATAAACTTAGCAACCAGAACACCATTAGCTCCAGATTTTAGAAAACGTTTTTAAGTGTATTAAAGTAACTTAAATTTAAGGACTCAAAATAATTTCAAAACTTATAGGCCAATTAATTAAGTCTAAAAATGTTATAATTTTCATTTTTGGTGCCCAAAACTACTCATTGGTCATTTTACAAGAGTCATCTCTTGCTTCTTTTGCATTTTGGCATTCAGCACAGTTATAGAAAATAAGTATTTTGTATGGAAGTCAAATTACCACTTTGTGTACATATAGCTACCTTTATCACAAATTATTTCATTTTCAACGAAATTTTCTTCTGATGATAAGAACCTCACATGTTCTTCATCCCTTAATCACATATTTGTTATTTCTACAGAAAAAAAAATTCTGAAGCGATAAATATAAGGACCATAATATATCATCGGTACAGTGTAGCACGTCTCACAATATCCAAATATTTTATCTTTAAGTATCATTTAGAATTTGGCCAGTTTTATAAGTTTTTAAAATTATAAACATCTCTCATCATTAAGCGCGTAGGCTAATTGTTCGCACCAAGTTACGTATTAATTATACAATCTGCCTGTATCTCTTTGCATAAACATTTGTCTTTATTGTTTATTTTCATAACTACAGTGCAACTTTTCTTATTCTGCCCAAGAAATTCTGAATGTTACTCCTGTATAAAATTATTTATCGCTAAATGTTATTATTGTTAATACATGTATTTGTTTATTAATATATTTGTCGTATTAAAAACTTTTTTTTCTGTTGTAGTGTTGGACGACCCTATTCTTACACTGGTTGTGATAATACTTATTTCTAGCCTAACGTTGGCCTTGACATTGTGTTTTGTTCTACATTGCACGAAATACGAGTGGAGGAAAATGTCACCAAAAATGTCGTTGTTTATTGGAGGCTGGTTCCTAATACAAGGTATTATGATCTAATAAGCATCCATGTGACTAAGAGCAAAAAGGTTATCATGTTATGTAAATGTTTTCAGAATGAAAAAAAAAGACTTTCGTTCTTATTTGATAGTATAGACCTACACAAAGAATTGATTGTATTCGCCGATATGTTTCTATATGTACCAATGTTAAAGAGTTTCTATAATGTCTTAATAGCTGTACTGCTTTTGTTCTTTTTTGATCACTTGTAAAGGATCTTTTCATTTTACCTTGCAATTTATGGAAAATTTGTGTATGTATTTGAGTTTATTTATACACGCCACCGGTTGCCCATATGGCCGAGTCCTCCAGAAAAGTATTAGTCATTTTAGAATTTTTGAGGATAGTGCAAGATACAGATACAGAACGATGACCAAATTCCAGAAGCTTCTCCTGGTTCTTTAGCGTGCCAAGTGTTAAAGCACTCATACACGGAACGGAAAGTCTCGCCCGAAAGACTGATTAGTAATTTTAGTTGGCCAGCCCGGGAATCGAACCCACAATGTCGAGATTACAAGTCCCGCGTTCAAACCGATTGAGCTATGTGGGCTGGCTTTATGAAAAAATATAAAACGTATCTTTTAACTAAGTGCAATATTTCAATAATACTTATTCGTTTTGTAATATCTGTTATTTTTTTCAGAAATACTTACAACATCTGTGCTGATAGCTATTGCCGTCAAGTATGACCGGATAGGTTGGTCAGCTTACGTGTTTACAGTGCCCGGGATAATCTTCCTGGGCTTTATGATGCTTGTACTGATATACATGTGGTGTTTTCCAACGAAAACTGTCAACCCGTCTTGATTTTCCTTAACTACTATTGTAGTATTTTGTATAAAATTCGTTTATTGTGGACTTGTATGAATTTTGCATAGCACTTTTAGTTGTTTTTGTGAAACATAATTACATTGTATTGTTAAAAGTTGAATATTTATGTAAATTACTGCCTGAATATTCGGCCGGGAAGGACTCTCCATACAGAGAGAAAACAACAACAGAAACAACAATATACATTCATGTATTTCAGGAGCACTATATTAGGATAATCAATAAATCTTTCTTTCTTTCTTCCTTTCTTTTTTCATTTTCTTTATTACTTTTTAATTCCAGTTTTGTTAGTCTTTGAACAATTTTTATAATCAAATTCTATTTTCTCAAATGATATCATATTGATTGCTGATATATTTATGGAATTCCAATTACAATTGAATTTATGCACATCTTTTTACTACAAGTTAGACGATGTGGGAAGGGCCAATTCTCTAATGTTGTTAAAACTTGTGGCCCGACCCTTTTGCTTTTTTATAATAACTATAACATCCATGCATTAACTGTAAATGTATTCGTTACTGTTTTGTATTGTGTTAACATGTGACAATTTATCTGTTTTTGTATAAAATGTAAAAGCAATAAAATATGATTAAACTAAATTAGGATAACGTACAGCACAACGAAAATCTTTACAGTCCATTTTACTTCTTCTGTAAATATATAAATCGTAACTTAATATATGTTAATGTCATTTAAATGTACTTATTAAAAAAAGTTGACTGCAGTATTTCAGTACTACTATTTTCTTTAGTTTTTCATAGAAAATCACCATCAGTACGCTAGTCAGGTCGTCATTTTCACAAATGATCTTGAAAATTAACATTTTCATGAAAATATTATGATGAGGTTTAAAGTATAATGACTTAATTAGCAACCGTATGCGCTAATTCATTTTTTCCAATTTGGTGTACAATAGAAAATATTGATCCATTTACTTATTGCGGTGCTCGTTTTAGCCATTTTATTGCACAATTCTGTGTTACTTTTGCACAATTCCTGCGTTACTGGATATACACGGTGAAAATGCTTCTGAAAATGCGTGAGTGTGAAAACGATGCTGCGATATAATATCATATTGCCCTGATAACTGTAAACTAATCGGTTACTATACGGGCACAGGCACTTGGGGTTGGTCTCATTTTGAAGCTTAATAACGTAAAACGTGAAATAGTGATAAAGTTTTTTTTAATTGTCTGGCCAATTGTTTTCACAACGGCCCGGGAAATGAATCCCTTGCTCGTAGGCTCGAATCTGGAGTTTCCGGCCTTCTCTTAACTTATAGTATATTTTTAAAGGGGGTCATTATTTGCTTTTGTTTTTGGTTTTTGTCACTTTTAAGATGAACACAGGTTTTATTATTAATCTGGTCATATTTTTTCTTCCCAGGTCCGATACTCGTGCCTGTGTATACGGGTACCTAAAATGACCGTCGGTTAAAAAAAATAAGGTGGGGCATGAAATTTTATTTCGCAAAGTATAAAGTTATCCACTCCACAAGAAGGAAAACCCTGTCTGAACACAATAATTTTCCTATCTCAACACAATTATAACTAAATTGGGTCCAAGTAGAACTTGTTTAGCATGGATAACTTAACGTGATATGCCCACAAATCAAAAAGCAAATCAAACATTAAGATTCCTTCACAGTCAAATCAAAGTTGCCTTAGTCTATAGCTTACCAAACAAGTCAGAAACAAACTGGAATATGGCCCCGACACTAAATATAACAAATCTCTAGCGTTACGGTCATGCTCCACTCTATAAATCTTTGTCGTGTGTGTCTTACTTCATAGATATTACAGGGGAGATAGATAGAAGCAAATGATATTTATTGTTATTTCCCTTGACACGATGATTCATAACTACGATTTGTAGGCTACGCGTTTCCAGAAATTCTTTTAACTGTATACTTTCGGTTTCTACTATATAGTCTTTACAAGCAAATAACTACATGTAAGTACAATGTTTCTTACAATTTAATAAAGTTACTTTATTATACTTATTTTCATCTTTTATAAATGGGTCGATATTTTACATGTAGTGATTTTTACCATATAACTTTATTAGAGAAACAATTTTCCAGGTAGCATTTATATACAAAATGTATATTTATCAACTTTCGTTTTCAATATAGAATTTCATCTACGAATACTTTAGTATTAAATAAAGTTTGATTCTATTCATATTTTTTTCTTTGTTGAAAAAAGAAAAAGTCGTACAGTTATTTACAATTCAACTTTCTGCACCGTGGGTGTTATCACTGGCGTACCAACAATTTTAAGGAGCTATAGTCATCTTTATGACTAGCCACGCGAGGAATAGCAAACTATCAAGTTGTGTTTAATGGCCATACCATATTATAAGCTATGGCCTCTATTAATTATTTTAACCAACAATTTAATACTTAAACATGTGCAAAGAATATTACATACATCAATATTATGCCAATTAATACAATATAGAAACTACACATGTAGAAATATTAATAAATCGAATTCTACTATAATAGTAAGAAATGTGAGGGTTTCGTAAGAAACACGCCATGTAGAAATTACATACATCAATATTATGCAAATTAATACAATATAAAAAATACATATGTAGAAATATCAATTAATTGAATTCCACAAGAATAGTAAGATCTTTTTAATTATGATGACTTCTAGTTGTCCCGCGCCTTTTCGAAGAAAAAAGGGGAATTTAGTAATAGGCTCCGTCCGTCTGTCCGAGCTCACTGAAATGACGATGTGGGGCGAATATCCATGTTCAATCCGTATAGACGGTACTTGTGAGGAAAAAGGTTGCTTATGGGGTGCAAATACGTTGCTTATGGGGTTTTAGAGATCAAAGGAGATCAAAGAAAAAACCCCATAATGTCAACTCAGTAGGAACGTCCGTCCGTCACACTTTCGTGTCCGGTTCATAACTTTGTCATTTATTGAAGGAATCTGAAAAAACTTGGCACAAATGTTTGTTATAATAAAACGACGTGTCATGTGCAAAAACCAGACCCCTATCTCCAAGGTCAAGGTCACACTTGCTCATTCAAGGCTAACATTGTCTATTTGATGGTATATGTCGTGTCCGGTCCATAACTTTCTTATCTTTGAAGGGATTTTGTAAATACTTGCCACAATTGTTCACAATAATGAGACGATGTGCCATGCGCAACAACCGGTCACCTACCTCTAAGGTCAAGGTCACACTTGGAGGTTAAAGATTAACATAGTCTATTACAGGGTATATTTTGTGTCCGGTCCATAACTTTTTCATTTATCAAAGGAATCTGAAATAATTTGTCACAAATGTTTGTTATAATTAGTCGATGTGTCATGCCCAACAACCAGACCCCTACCTCCAGGGTCAAGGTCGCACTTGCGCATTCAAGGTCAACATTGTCTATTTGATGGTTTACGTTGTGTCCGGTCCATAATTTTCTTATCTTTGAAGGGAATTTGTAAATACTTGCCACAATTGTTCACTATAATGAGACGATGTGTCATGTGCAACAACCGGTCACCTACCTCCAAGGTGAAGGTCACAATTGGAGGTCAAAGATTAACATAGTCTATTACAGGGTATATTTTGTGTCCAGTCCATAACTTTTTTTATAGATCAAATGATTTTGTAAATACTTGCCACAAATAGTCACTATAATAAGACAATGTGTCGTGCGCAACATCTGCATCCCTACCTCCCAAGTTCAAGGTCACACTTAGAGGTCAAAAGATAACGTTTCTGTTTTAGGGTATATTTTGTACTTCTTCAGGATTTTGAAATAACTAGGCACAAATAGTCACAATAATAAGACAATATGTCAGGTACAACACCTGCACCCCTACCTCCAAGGTCAAGGTCACACTTAGAGGTCAAAGGTTAACTGTTATATGGTTTATTGTATGTCCCGTCTTATAACTTCTTCATAGCTCAAGGGATTTTGAAAATACTTGGCACAAATAGTCACAATGATAAGCTGATATGTCATGCATAACACATGTGTCCCTACCTCCAAGGTCAAGGTCACACATAGAGGTCAAACATTTACATACTCTGTAATAGGGTATATTTTGTGTCCAGTCCATAACTTGGAATTTTAAAAATACTTTGCACAAATAATCACAATAATAAGATGATATGTCAGGCGCAAAACGTTGGTCCCTACCTCCAAGGTCACACTTAGAGGTCAAAGATTGACATAGTCTGTTATAGGGTATATTTTGTGTCCGATCTATAACTTCTACATAGTTCAAGGGATTTTTAAAATACTTGACACAAATAGTAATATTATTTAGATGATATGTCATGCACAACACCTGCACCCCTACCTCCAAGGTCAAAGTCACCATTTGAGGTCAAAGGTTAACATGATAGAATTGTACATTCCGTGTTTCATTTTACTAGTATTTCTTTGATAAATTCATTGTTGCATTTGTAGATCTAGCATTGATCATAATTTTGGAATGAAAGTCCTGACATCCATACCTCAATCTTTTGAAATAGCACAATTTTATGCTTCATATAAAACTTCCCCGAGGCGGGGGACGTTGGTAACTCTGTTTAAGGGGATGGGGGGGGGGTAATTTTTTTTGCTTCCTCCTACGCGAAGAATAACAAACTATCAAGTTGGGTTTAATGGCCATACCATACTATAAGGTATGGCCTCTATTTATTATTTTAACCAACAATACTTAAATATGTGCAAAGAATATTACATACATCGATATTATGCCAATTAATACAATATAGAAAATACACATGTAGAAATATTAATAAATCGAATTCTACTATAATAGTAAGAAATGTGAGGGTTTCGTAAGAAAAACGCCATAAAAGCTAGTATAAGGCTAGCTTTCCACACATTATTAGAACGAAAATATTACATGCAAGTAAGCCATTAGTTTTTTCTATCATTGAGGTAAATATAAGTTGTTTTCCCCATCTATTTACTATTTAGTAAGAAAGTTAGATTTATCCTAGTCCCGGCAAGACAATCTTTTCCTGTTTGTAGTTAGGTTGCAACATTGAATCTGAATTGCCATTGAGTTTATTTGACATATACTCAGAAGAAACAGTATGTTTAAGGGTAGCGTTTATAAATTAGCCATTTTATGGATGGATTAATTTAAGATATCGCATTGTGTTTACATATATATTTCCCCAAAAAGTACACGCTTAACAACGTTTTACAACAATCGATTGCAGGAATGAT